GTCAGTTCTACACTTATGTAACCAAGGACTTCCCCAATCCAAATTACAGGTAAAATCATCGTACATCTTGCAGCTGTACACAAAATCCCTGCACATTCTTCATAGATGGGTTTTCCATAAAACATGGGGCATCTCCACAAACCTGATTCTTATTTGGCCTGGAGGAGGGCCTCCCCCTGCTTGTTTCCATGGAAATGTTGTTCCCTTTGTTATTATATTCCACAGTATGGCATAACACTCCTCTATCTCCATAGAGAATGTTCCAAAGTATGGCTTTACCTAGGGTGACCATATTTCCATTTGTGAAAACCCGGACACCTTACGGGGGGTGGGAGGTGGGGCCTTTCGCTGATTTTTTATTATTTTTTTTTAACCCATGGGTGGGTCAGGACTAAACCAGGTCTAAACCAGGACTAATCTTGAACTTGAGAGAGAGAACGCCGAGCAGTTTGTCTGCAAAGCGCGATCAGGCAATTGCCGCATTTACCTCCGTGAGGTGTGGAGCTCTCCATCGGTCCCTTCTCCTGCGTCACCTCCGGCACGTCCCGACACTGACTCCTGGTTCAGTCCTGGTTCAGTCCTGGTTCAGTCCTGGTTCAGTCCATGGTTCAGTCCTGGTTCAGTCCTGGTTCAATCCTGGTTCAGTCCATGGTGTAGGCAGCGCAAAAGCTTGATATAATCTCGGGTTAACTGGCGGGTGTGGTGTTGTACTGCAGGTCTCCAAAAATGGACCCATGCAGGACTCTGCGCTGTTGGCTCTATTACGGAATAAATGAATCTTCGGTTCATTACATAAAGAAGGAGGAAAATAACAAAAGGACGACAGCAGCAATAAGTTTTAAGAAGGATGCAAAAAGAGTTGTAAATGTCCTGTGTGAGAAAAGTGTATAAAGTTTGTGCTGAGGGGTTTTACAGCCTTAAAACAGATAGAATAATTGTAAAATATAAAGTTGGCTACCTTGCGGATTTCACCTATCGTGGGTTATTTTTAGAACGTAACCCCCGCGATAAACGAGGGACACTGTACTCTCACTCGCAACCTGTGCACATGGCCTCCCACTTGTCCCGACTGGGATGGAAAACTGAGAATTTCTTGTACAAGTCATTGTTAAATGTGCATTTATGCTTCGGTATGTTGCAGGCTGAACAAGTGTTTGTGTTTGCTCGCTCCTTCTGAGTCACAGAGAACTACGAAAGTCGATCAATTTAATGCCCCCAATGAACTGTAATGAAAACCCGGACATTTCCATCACTTTAAAAAAAAAAACCCAGACGCCCAGGACAAGACGCAAAATAAGGACATGTCCGGGGAAAAACGGACGTTTGGTCACCCTACTTTAACTCCAAATATTTCCATGGAATCATACAGGTGACATGCACCTCCAGAAAGTTACACACTGTAGCTTTAATCAAGATTGAGATTCCATCATTTTTTTAATAAGTCTGTATTGTTAATGTTCAGGAAATTCATATTTAACTCTTTCCCCCATGAAGACGACATTTGACGACCCCTCTTGTTTCCTTAATGACGTGTTTTGACTCCTCCGCTGTTTCACTAAAGACATAATTTGACGACCATTAGAAACGGTTCCAGTTTTTCAGCCACTACAACCTACACTAGGCTGACCAGTAGGATTCAAGGATGCGTTTTCGTTAATCGAAGTAGTGACGATTGTAGCTTCCAGAAAAAACACAACATGAAACACGAGCAATGGAAAGCTTGTGGTGCACCGTTTTAGAAATAATAAGAAGTGGGCGCATGGATTTCAAAGAGATGATGAAGTTGATTATAAAGTGGAAAACAGCAATAGTGACGGAATTTCAGAGAGTGAAACTTACAAAAGTGAGAATGAGTCTGTATGAAGTCCTGCGAACAAACTTTCCAGGACTTTATACTCGATTATGAAACAAAATTGCCCCGAAATCTGGATGTTGCTCAGACTAGTCCTTTGAAATATTTCAGTCTTTTTTTAAGATCAGATGCTGAATGTAGTTTTTTGTTTTTGATTTTGCACCTGACCAGGTAAATTCTTATTTTTTTTTTATATTTATAAACCTGTAAATGAGCTCAATCACATTTAAACAGCCATAAATGAATAGGTCAGAGTCTAATGTTTCCAGAGATACAAAATATGTCTGTGTTTCAATAAAGTTCATGAAAGTGAAAATCATTTATAATCACTTGTTAAGTTAAATCAACTTTTATTTGTATAAAAATGAGACAAAATGTAATAAAAAATTGTCATTCATCTCATTTTCACCACATTTCTTGTTTTAAAATAATGTTTGTTTGGCTCTTTGCAGGAAGATTTGTGCTCTCTAGCAAGTTATCCTGATTCCTGCTCCTACCAAAGTGGCCCGCATGGATCATGTTGTGTCTGGGTTTGCCCCAAAAAAGCAATGATGAAATAATGTGAACATGAAATCAGTTTGTTTAGAAAGAACAAATAAAAGACTCAGTTTCCAAATGTACTCTCTTCTCTGTTTTTAATAGATTTTATTACCTATATTATGAAAGCCTCTGTGTAATTTTTTGGAGGAGAAGAGGGTCAGATTTTCTTGCCTTGGATTCACTATACACACTTATCCAATACTTGAAGAATGACGCTTTACAGAGCATTATTCATTCACTCCATACCCGTACCCATACCCATATAAATGACAGTATTACACCAATCTTATCGATTGGTGTAATACTGTCGATTGGTGTAATACTGTCACTGGCACTTTGTGAAGAAAAGCTGAAAAATATGTTGAAGAAAAGCTGAAAAACATGTTGAAAATTACAGGAAGTAGAAAGCTCTAACGCACTGATAACACGACCGTGGGAGAATTTTCTATCCAAACGTTAACTTGAAGCATGCCTTTTTTTGATCCTTTAAGCATTATTTAAACAAAATAATGTGTTCTCTTGTATTAGTCAAATATTAATTTCTGTGTACATTAGAGAAGTTGCCATGATTTCCAACCAGGAAGTAAAATCTGAAACCTAAAAAATGTTAAATCTTAAATGCAATGATCTTAAGTGTGTTTCAGTGAAATGGGTAGTCTAACCTGTCATAGGCACTGTAATCTGATGTGAGAGAAATATCATTTTGTTGGTAAATGATAGATGACCAATGAGCTCCTTTGTTTCACATGCGTCAGTGAAATAAGCAACTCTGATTGGACGATCACGTTTGGTTCTGGCTTGAGATATTACTGAGGGTGTTTGGACCAAACAGATAGTATATGTGTGACACTTGTTTAACAGCACAAATCAGCTCATCTGTTGTGGTTTCATCTAAATTAGCTCTTTCTTGTCAGATTGTGTTGAAATAAAACTGAGATTAAAGATTGTTAAAGCCTCAGACACAGCATGCCTACAGTTAGCATCAGATCTCCAGGGAATGTTAATTAAAACTTAAAAAATCTCCAAATCAAAAAGCATAAAAACTCATACAAAATATAAATTCTTAAAAGGTGCATTGTGCAACTTTTCCAGTTAAGGATCTGTCACCTGCTTATCTCTGTTATTGGTTTTGTCTGGAATAGTATGGTATTTAACCTTTCTATCTTCATGGAAACCAGACCAGACCAAGTCACACTGTGGAACATTCTAGGTAAAGCAATAACATATCCATAGAAACAAGCAAGTGACGGACACTCTTCCAGAAAAGTTACACAATGCACCTTTAAATACATCTATCTAGCATTTATTCATTACAGGATGAGGAGCACAAAAATACTATAATTCTCTAGGGTTGCCTTTCCACAGATCTGACCTGAAATGTAGCCTATAGTTGTCTCCCTTGAGAAAGATTTAGAAGGTTTAATCTCTAATATGGAACATTCTACTCAAAGCAATAACATCTCCATGAAAACAAGCAGGTGACGGACCCTCCACCAGAAACGCTGCACCTTTAAGTACCGTATTTTCCACACTATAGGGCGCTCTGGATTATAAGGCGCACTGAATGAAACACAACAGTTAGATAAGTCAGTCAAACTTTATTTAATGCGTCCACAATAACTCTCAACTTTGTCCAACTGTAACACGTAAAAAAATACTGTCTGAGACGCTAAATTGTTAGCGTATTCACAATAACTCATAATTGTTCAAACAGTTGGGCGATTACGGCGTCCAGCACGCCCACATCCCTCTCATCATTATCCAAGTCAGTGTTGTTACTGTTACCTGGCAGTTCAGTGATGATTTACTTCATGGTAAAAGCTCGGACCACAGTTGATACTGATCCTTAGCCCAGGCGTCCACGATCCATTGGCTCGGCGCTGTCTCCTTGTCTTGGTGAACGTGTGTTTGCCTTCTCGCCGTGTGTTTGCAGCTTGCACTTTAACTTTATAATAGCCTTGAGTTTAAAGTCGGCGTTGTAAGCGTGTCTCTTGACAGGTGTAATTTGATGTTAAAAGGAATCACAGTATGTATTACTCCGCGATGCTCCTGACTACGGGAGCCGTAATGCTGCAAGTGGGGCGGCTTTGTAGTTTACTAAAGTTGTATTAAGACACCCCAATAAATTCATATATAAGGTACTCTGGATTATAAGGTGCACAGTTGTTTTTTGATTAAATTAAAGGCTTTTAAGTGCGCCCTATAGTGCGGAAAATAGGGTAGTAGTACCTGTTGGCTGTTGCATATTCAAAAATAGAGATGCACCGATGCAGCTTTTTCAGTTCCAATACCGATTCAGACAATAACCGATATCTACAAACACCAGTGCAGGGACTAAAAATATACTATATTTTCCTAAAAACAAGAAATATATTGTACAACAAATTGTGCTATGTTGCTCTTACCTCTCAAGTAACTACAGAACAGCTTTGTATGTTAAAAGCTCAAATATTATGAGACTTTCTCGACCAACATAGCTTTATTGCATCAAATCATAGTGACAGAATAATCAACAGAACCAATATTTTGGAGGTAATACCTGATCCAGCAAATTTTCATGGGTCAGTGCCAATATTCGATACCAGTATCAGTATCGGTGCATCCGTATTCAAAACTCACCTCTGGATGTGGTTCTCTCCAGCTGAATGGCGTCCTCACAGTTTGAACAGCGATGAGGAGCCTTTTTGACTTTTTCCTCAAAACTGAGCAGGTAACTTACTGTCATGGCCTCCAACACGCTGATGCCTACCAGAGCAAAGATCCCAATGCAGTAATTCGCTGAAATCAACAACCTGATGTTAGTATTTCAGATAATAACAAGAGAGGTTAAAGAGGAGGTATTACACTTCTATGGGGAATTAACTGCCAACACAGAACATATCCAGATCATTATGTTCAGAGTGCTGTCACATTACAAGTGATGCGCATTTTCACTAATGAAACAACTGCACATCGCATCAGATTTGTTAAGTTGTCTATTGTTTTAGAGGATATTTGTATATTTATGGAGAATTGCCGTGCAGGAGCATGGGTGGCATAGGCTAGTGGGCGGCGCTTCGGATAGAAACCGTGAGGAGGTTTCAAACAGGACAACAAACATGCATATATGACATGTAAAACCTCTTCAAGGATAGGGAACAACATGATAATATGATGAAATATTGTTTAAATTTACACTACGCAATAGAGTGCGCCAACTGCACTGTGTTAAAACTGTGTTACTTTCTGAATTACTTAATGTCTGTCTTGTTTAAGTTTGCGTAAAATCACTTTTCTGAAAAATAAAAAAAATATGATGGATTAATACATTTGTAAAACTTAAGACAATTATTTTTTATGTTTTTCACAAAACTTTAAAATCCTGTTTCTATTTCTGCACTGAAGGGGACATATTAAAGTGGAACTAAATACTTAATCAACTTTTTTTTTTTTTTTTTAACTAAACTGTGTATATGGTGTTAATAGCTTTGTCTACTGTTCCTAGTGTTTTGACAATTTTAGTGTAAACTAGGTACATTTGCAGGTTTGTGTTCAAAAACATACAGAAACAGAAACCTTACTTGTAGGTGGTTTTATAGCTCAAAAAAAAACAAAAAACAAAAAAAAACAGGCATTCTAAGTGTTAGCAGGTTCTAAGTGTGAGCAGGATAGCAGAATTTGGTGTGGTTTGGTCTCCATGAAGATAGAAAGGTTTAATGCCATACTGTGAAACATTCCAGACAAATAAATTACATCTCCATGGAGACAAGAATTTGACGGGCCCTCTGTTAGAAAAGTTACACAATGTGCCTTTAACTTCACAATAACACAAACAGGTAGTGTTATGAATTCTTTTCTAAATGCTGGATCATTGTCCATACATTGTCCATGTGTAGTTTCAGTTGACTCACCGATCCATGGCATCTTCTTCTCAGTAGAGGGCAGCATATCCTTGAGAATGAGCAGCAGCACGGAGATGGAGAGGAGGATAGTGATTTTAAAACTCAACTTTTCTCCACGCGCCTCGTTTATGAAGAAAGACGCCAAATCCAGAATCAGGAAGTAGAGGAGCGGAATGATGAAGTTTATGACATATAACATGGGTCTGCGGCTTATAGTGACCTACAGCACAGAAAAAGGCAACAAAGGTTTGGGATGAGCAATTTGGGAAATATTACTTAAAGGTCCAATATTACACAAAATGAGTCCTGTGAGCTTTTAGCCATGTTATAATGTTGTTATGTCATCAAAAACATACCTGGAATTGTGTTTTGTTTCATTCACACATTTGCGTAATCGTTTAATATTAGTCTGAACATCTTGCTCAAAATGCTCTGTTCCAACTTGTGATGTCATGAGGTAGTAGTTTTCCAGCTACCATTACCTTATGTTCAGTAGAAACTGGCAATTCCAGAAATGAAATGATGCAAATGAAGGTGTATGGAGTTTAAAAACACAGTGGAGCACTTCCTGTATTACCACATGACATCACAAGGTGGAACAGAGCTATCTGTGAATGTGTAAATGTGCAGGGTTTGTTTTTTATGAGAAAACAACAATATAACATAGGTCAGAAAATAGGGTAATTTTTTTTCTTTCTTTAAAGGTGCATTGTGTAACTTTTCTGGTGGGTCCGTCAAATACTTTTCTTCATGGAGATGTTATTACTTTGCTGGAATATTTCACAGTATGGTATTAAATCAAGTTACAGGTCAGATCTGTGGAGAGGCGACCCCGCTCACAGTCAGAATGTCTGTTTTTCTAGGTATTTTTGAGCTGTAAAACCACCTGTAATTGAATAAATGTAAGGTAAAGCTGTTTAATGTCATACTGTGGAACATAGAAAGCATAAAAGTCATAGAAAGCATAAAAAACAAGCAGGTGACGGACTCCCAAACAAAAAGTTACACAGCGCACCCCGGCTGATTTACAATTCCCAATGCGGCGCTCTTACCGTGTATATGAGTTCACTGTGCTTCTTGTTATCATGCATTACTTTCAGAGTAGTGTTGATCTGGATGTTTTTCAGGTCCCATTCGCCCTGAGTGATGATGACCCCTTTGGAATAATTGGTCATCTGTTGGTCGTTGCCAGCCTGTGAGACCAGAAGTATGGCATCAACTGTAAGAGAAAAAAACAACATGTAGGCTCAGTTATAGCATGGTCATTACTCATAATTTCTATTTGTATTTATTTATTAAAAGGGACAATGCATATCAAAAGACAAGACAAACATGTACTTGTAAATACTTTCTGGTTGAGGGTCCATCACCTCTTTGTTTCTATGTATATGTCATTGCTCTGCTTGGAATGTTCCACAGTATGACATTAAACAGCTCTATTTTACATTTACAATTACATGTGGTTTTATAGCTCAAAAACACCTAGACAACATGGTAATTACTCATGATTTATATTATTTGTTTTGTTTTTTATTAATTAGGGGCAATGCGTATTAAAAGATAAGATAATGCAAAAGACAAAACACAAAGCTAGTTTCCTCAGTCCCAAGACCAAGGCCAACCACAAAACCCACACAATCCATAAAACTTGAAAAAAGACACAATAAGAGCTTCCACACTATAACACACACTCAATTCTAAGACACAGGCATACAAACTTACAAAAATAGTGTTAAAATTTACAGGTCATATACTCACTACTTACACACAAGGATGTAAAAATGAGTGCGTTTACAAGCGCATCAGTATCCCTGTCATGAGCCTTATCCCTGGTTCTGACAGTGTTCTGGATTTTGTGTTTACATGCGCTCAGAAAAACCAGGATACTCATATTCCTGTGTAAATGTGCCAGAGTATCAGAGTATCCTGGATATTTAAAGCGGTTGTTGTGGTAATTATGGCACAGATATGACAAGGAGCTAAACATGTAGTACCTTTGCTATCTTAAGGCTTTTTAACAGATTTCTAACAGAGAAAAAGAAAACATGTATACAAGTAATAACATGAGACTGTGGCACACTGTCACAACTTCAGTAAAAGTCACTTTTAAGAGCTGAAAAATACAACAGTCTCACAGAGTCAGTTTACTTTACTTGAAGAACAACACAAACAGCCACAGAAATGAGCCTGGTTTTAAAAGGTGGCTGAATATTATTACTTAAAAAGTCCTGGTCAGGATATCAGGATACTGTGTCTGCATGGACACTCACAAAACCAGGATACTTCTTATGGCGTGCATTATAGACTTAAAAGCAGCTCTGTTTGTACAAGTCTCTCCATGGCCGAGCACCAAAGTACATCTGTGACATGTTAGTGTCATATGAACCATCTCGCACTCTGAGGACCTCAGGGACCGGCCTCCTGCTGGTGCCCAGAGTCACGACTAAACAAGGGGAGTCAGCGTTTCAGGTTCATGCAGCTAAAACCTGGAACAGTCTGAACATGTGAGACAGACTCTTCTGTGACGCTGTTTAAATCCAGGCTCAAAACATTTCTGTTTAACTGTGCATATAACTGAAAGGTTTTCATTCCGCACTCTTCTCTCCAATTTATGTCTCTCTTTTTTAATTTTAATCTTCATGATTATTTATGTTTTGATTTGTTTTTATTGTGATTTTAATGTATTTCTTATTCTGTAAAGCACTTTGAATTACTTTGTGTACGAATTGTGCTGTACAAATAAACTTGCCTTGCCTTGCCTTGCCATTACATCTTAGTTCTTCTCTCAAAAAGAAACACTCTGAGATCACCAGAACTCCGGCTAAATATGCAGGGTTTGTGTGTTAAATATGTGTGAATGAAGCAAAACACAACTCCAGATGTGTTTTTGATAAGGAAACTACATTATAACAGATCAGAAAATAGCATACTATGGGCCTTTAAAGGTGCACTGTGTAACTTTTCTGGTGGGGGGACTGCCGTCTGCCTTGTTTGGAATATCATTAAATGGCAATTAAACGGAAATGGCATTAAACATAACCATCTTGAATTTACTCAATATAACATGGGTTTTTATTGACTTTAGATCTTGCATTCTTACTGTGAATGAACTCCCCTCTCCACAGACTTGACATGTAACTTGACCTTGTGGTGTCACCTGCTGGGTCCGTAGAGAAAAATAACTGCAGGGGTGTCGAACTGGGGGGGGTAAAGTGTCCTGTTTACCCAGAGCCCCTAACACAACCTGTAAAATGCTAAAAAGCTATATGTCCAAAATTTTACACCACTGAATAACTACAATGCCATACAGTGGCACATTCCAAGCAACTTCTTCTCTCCATGAAGGGAAGCTGGTAACAGACCCTGCACCAAAAGTTACACAGTGCAGCATTAAGTTTTATAAATAAACCAAATAGAGGTCCTGTGCCCAGAGATCTCCACTGGCTCCCCATTTTCCTGCACATCCAATTCAAACTCCTCACCATCGTTTACAAGTCCATACCTTAACCTCGCCAACCTCCTATCTCCCCCCGCCAGGACTAAACACAAGGCCTGGGGGACAGGGTCTTCTCTGCTGCTGCCCCCACCCTCTGGAACACATCAGAGACTCATTCACAAGCCCCATGTTTAAAAAAGCCCTGAAAACCCCTCTCTTAAAAATCACCTTTCATTAACGTTCTTATTTCTTTGAGCATTTTGAGAAGCCCTTCACAAGTGTTATGCATCATTATTATTATGATTATTATTATTTTAAAGAAAGATGCTGCTTTTACCGCTTGCAGTCATAGAGGAGAATGTGATGTCACATTCCTGATCGTCGAAGGGGAACATGTTGAGGTTCAGTTGACAGGTGAAGGTCAGGAGGTGCCTGGAGGTGGTCATGGCCCAACCGTCCGGATACAGGTTTACATACGGACTTTCCAGAATGCTGCTGGGGTCTGAAGCACTGCAGGACGAGAGGACGAGAGGACGAGAGGAGGACAGGAGCAGAGGAGCAGAAGGAGGAGGAGGAGGAGGAGAAGGAGGAGGAGGAGCAGGAAGAGGAGAAGAGGAGAAGCAGGAAGAGGAGAAGAGAAGAAGAGGAGGGAAGGGAAGGAGGTGAGCAGGGGAGGAGGAGGAGAGGAAAGGAGAAGAGGAGGAGAAAATGAGTGGAGAGGTGGAGAGGTGGGGAGATGGAGAGGGGAAGGGGAAGGAGAGGAGAGGAGGAGGAAGGAGAAAGAGGAAAGGAGGAGAGAGCAGGGAGAGATTTCAAAACAACCAGACAATTTCTGGATTTCAGGTGACATCACAACATTCTAAAGGCCAAAGTTATTTCAACATTTATGGATTTTAATTCTAGATATTTCATAGCAAAACTACAATATTATAATGAATAATGAAATCCGGTTCTTGCCTCCTTTATTTGTGAGTACCAATGACAATCACTAATTGCGGGTTGTCAGGAGCACTCTGGAACCATAACTGAAAGAAGTTTTGACAAAATTTATAATAAATAAGCAGTGCAATCTATTTCACAATTTTGGCGTCACTATTTGTATGTATTTTATATAACGCTTTAGCAGTCATTGTAGTCCTGCTTTTTGGAACTACAGCTTCTCAAATTGCATAACTCACCAGCTCTTAACTCTATTTTCAGTCCAAGCCAAAGGTAAAGTTTTTTCATGTGTGTGCAATCTTGTGCCAATTTTGTCTTGCGGAATCTTGCAGCGCGAGATCTTTTCCCATCCCCATTTTTTTTTTTACTCTTTGCTATTGTAATATAATGTGATGTGTGTGAGCTACTGTGTCCAAGCAATTTCCCTTTTGGATCAATAATGTTTGTTTAAGTCTAAGACCTACTCCTCCTGGATGTGAATGTCGGGGATCCAGAGCAGGGAGCGAGGGACAGTGATGACGTCGATGTCACAGAAATCCGTAGTGTTCCAGTTCAGAAACGCATTGGACCAGTACTGCAAAAAAAACAAAACAGCAAGATCTTAGAGAATGAGACCCAAAAGAAAGGGTAATCAATCAATCAATCAACAGCTTTGTTAATCCCAAAGGGCAATTCAGTTAGCAGATTTTTGGGTGTGCATAAATCATGTACATACAACACACCACACACAGGTTTTATGGCAAAAGGAACAGAAAGATTTAGCGTAGTGATTGGTCTTTTGTTGTGGGGTGACATATTCTTAGGCTGGCTCAGTATGGCCTTAGTCCCTTTGTCTCCACACAGAGGTCAAGTTCTCCATCTGAACACCACTGATTTTGTCACACACTTTCTCTGTATGGTATAAACTGTTCTTATCTTTCACAAATAACCCATAAAACCAATATAAAAATAATAAATGAAAATGTCAACAAACTTTCTATAAAGGAATGGTAAACATTATTCAAAAGGCTGGATGACACATTAAAAAAGAGTTAAGCTAACCCAATTTATGGTCATGCATCAAATCGTCTGCACTGTGACAGAGAGAGTCTGCGTTCCCAAGACTGACGTGCAAATCCGAAATTTACTAGCAAGGGAATACGACGCAGACAATAAGGGCTGTGATTGGTCCTCTCTATATCCTCTCTACATACATTTCCGCTTCTCCGCTTTCCTCCTTCATTTTGTGTACACAAACACTATTTTTAAATTCTAGCCTTCTAGCGTTGTGGCAGTGAATTACTTTGCGGTGCATAGACCTTGACGCAGATGCAGAGTTGTCACAGAACTATAAAATGGCCTTTAAACTTTTGCGTGAAGTGAACCTGTTGCTGTCCTCCTTTGACAATTTGCTCAGTGTTTCTATCATACTTTAGGGAGGAATCTGTGTTAAAGTGTTATGTTGTCAATATACTTGGATTCAACATGTATATGTAAATGGATATTTTCTTTTTAATAATCACGTGTTTAATAACTTTGATAACTCACATGACCCCTATAAATGTTTCACAGGTGTTAAAACTTTCCATCTTCATGGAGATCAAACCAGACCAATTTACAGGTCATATTTGCGGAGAGGCGACCCCGCTCACAGTCAGAATACCTGTTTTTCTAGGTATTTTTAATTCTGTTTAATATCATACTATGGAAGATTCCAGACAGAGCAATGACATATCCATAGAAACAAGGAGGTGATGGACCCCCAACCAAAAAGTTACATAGTGCACTTTTAATGAAATGTAAAATGTAAGAAAATATTTGCACTATGGACAGGAGGCAGAGGTATATCCACCACACTGTTATAATCTGAAAGGTGTAACTCAACTCACCATAGTGGTCCAGGTGTGTCCTTGGACAGTTTGACACTTCTCATCCTGGAACAAAAAACAGCATTGAAGGCTCTCTTGTGAGATTTAAGCCACGTTACAATGCTGTTTCTTCAAAAACAGACCTGGAGCTGTGATTTGTTTCATTCATGTTACAGTAAACCTTTATTATTAGTTTGTCTACATCTCTAGAGCTCTAAATCAGTTCCACTTTGTGATGTCATGTAGCGGTAGTTTTCAAGTTAACAGCTACGTTTTACCTTTTGTTCAGTAGAGATTGGCAGTTTTCGGGCTGTATGACCATATGACATCACAAGGTGGAACAGTGTGTACTATTTGTTAGAAGAACTCAGTCTAAATATGCACAGTTTGTGTGTTCAACATACGTGAATGTAACAAACACAATTCCAGGTATGTTTGTGATGAGGAAACGACATTATAACAGTTAAAGAATAGAATAACATTGGCATTTTAATAAATAAGTAATAATAATAGAACATCACATTAGGTTTGTGAAGTTGCAGTGTATTATTTGTATCATGCTTTTGTTTATTTATGGAGCATGGGTGACATTACGTAGGCTTGTGGGCAGAGAATGGCATAAAATCTTACACCTAAGAAATAAAATTTAAAGTCTAGAAATTGGCCAAACTGGGAAAAAAATTTGAAATTGAACTTAAATTCTAATAAATATAATAATCTTAACTGTGTTTTGGTAAAAATTTGTAGTCTAACTTGTCATAGCTGCTTTAACCTTATAAACCTTATAACCTTAATTTTAAAAGACTATTATTTAAATGAATGCATTGTTTTTCATATCAATACTGACCACTTTTACAATGCCAAACAGGATCATCTCCATTTTGACTTTAGTGACCTCGGTCCAGGACTTCACTGGACGGACATTTGCCACAAAACTGTTGGTGGTGGTGAGATTCAGGTACTCCCAGAGTCTCCAGTACGAACAGTGAGGAGGCGAAGAGTGGCAAAGGCCTGAAGACAAAACAACGAAAACACAGACCGTTCACTGGGGTTTAGGGTTGGCAAATATGAAAATCAGATACTAATTGGCACTTAAACAAATATCTAGATTCTCATTTGAGAAAGTATCAGTTCTAAAAAAGTTACATTCACAGGACGGAAATGAATCTTTCCTAAACATCTTTAGAATAATCATTGAGCTGTATCAGAACAAGTATAAGAGCACATAGACTAGTATATGTCCATGGACCATTATAGAACCTACCTGGACCACTGAGGGATTACACACATATAAGACCACATGGAAAAATATAAACAAAAGTACTATGATTTAATGCTGAAAATCACATTCTATTGTCTAAAGAGTTTTTATATTGTCATCATGGTATCAAAACTGGTATTGATTATTGCGTCTATTCCTTAGTATCAAAATCAAGTTTGAAATTTCAGTATCATGAAGCTCATGTTCATAACAATACTGTTTTTTGGGTGAGGACCTACAGGTATTGTGTGGCATAATGGCTTCTAATATTATTGTTTATCAGGTATCAGATATTTGAGTGGATTTGTTACGTTTAAAGCAGAAAGAGGACCTAAAATGCAGGACTGCACTTGCACTATGTTTATGTTTGATAAAACTTAAATAATGACCAGCAGAAAAAGCAAACACAAAAATCCAAAAAGAAGTGATACTGACAAGGAACCAACAAAGGTAAAGGAGAACACAGGGTATAAATGCATACAGATGAACGAGACACATTAGGGTAGGGGGGAAACAGTCAGTACAAGTAAAACTCAAAACACATACACTGCTAAAACCGGGTTAAGGATAATAAAATAATTCAAAGAAAAATTAACACCATGACAGGATTGCCAAACTGATCCGTAAAACTGGTCACGTGATCAGCTGTGAGGGACAGGAGGACACTGGACAAACTGTTCTCCATCATGGACACTGCTGCTTACCCACTCACTGCCCCAGACTATAGAGAGACAGAGGAGCTCATTCTCCAACAGGCTCCTACAGTTTTGCTTAAACAGTGAGAAATACAAGACTACATTCATATAATCAGTGATGGGGAGTAACAGATTACATGTACTGGAGTTACGTAATCAGAGTAACTGTATTCAGTTACAGTTACTCTTTCAGTGAGTGGTAATTAGATTACAGTTACTTTGTTGAAATAAATGGATTACAGGGCAGTATTTTCCTGTTTTCACATTTTGGGCTAAACCAGGACTAAAACCAGGACTAAAACCAGAACTTAAACCAGGACTAAAACCAGGACTAAACCAGGATTAAAACCAGAATTTAAACCAGGACTAAAGCCAGAACTAAACCAGGACTAAAACCAGGACTAAACCAGGACTAAACCAGGACTAAAACCAGGACTGAAACTAGAACTAAACCAGGACTAAAACCAGGACTAAAACCAGAACTAAAACCAGAACTAAAACCAGAACTTAAACCAGGACTAAAACCAGGACTAAACCAGAACTTAAACCAGGACTAAAACCAGGACTAAAACCAGGATTAAACCAGGACTAAACCAGGACTAAAACCAGGACTAAACCAGGGCTAAACCAAGACTAAACCAGGTCTAAACCAGGACTAAACCAGGACTAAAACCAGGACTGAAACTAGAACTAAATCAGGACTAAATCCAGAACTAAACCAGGACTAAAACCAGAACTAAAACCAGAACCAAAACCAGGACTAAAACCAGAACTAAAACCAGGACTAAAACCAGGTCTAAAACCAGGACTAAAACCAGAACTAAACCAGGACTAAACCAGAGTCTGTTCATGGAGACTTGGGCTCAACAGACAATTTGAAGAGAACAAACAAGAATTTTCAGGATGTGGTTGGTACATTCATGTAGGTTTAAAAAGCACAACCTTATGTAACAAATAATACTCCCTACAACTGTACAACACACCCTTATGTAACAGATAATACTCCCTACAACTGTACAACTTGCCCTTATGTAACAGATAATACTCCCTACAACTGTACAACTTGCCCTTATGTAACAGATAATACTCCCTACAACTGTACAACTTGCCCTTATGTAACAGATAATACTCCCTACAACTGTACAACAACTCACCCATATGTAACAGATAATCCCATGTCCTGTCAGTCATCATATCATTTTTGCACTGTTTCTCCTTACAATTTCATGTATAGAGCTGAGATATATTTGGATTACTATATTTCTATATTTTATATTGGCTTGTACATATACATTTATATAATATTTTTTACTACTCTTTCTTGGTTAACTTAGACTTAGAGAAACTTTATCGATCCTCAAGGGAAATTATCTGGACACAGTAGCTCACCCATCACAATATATAATTATAAAAAAAAAAATAAAAAAAATATATAAGAGTAAAAAATATAAATGGTAATAATAAATTCTATATAAGTTGCAAAAAAATTACTTTTATTAATACAATTGGAAGTAATTAATAAATAAATACATAATAAATAAATTGTAGTTAAAGTTACAGTATGTAACTTTCTGAAGGTGACATGTCACCCGCCTGATTCCATGGAAAGAGAAACTTAAAACCATACTTCTTTCATACTTCTTCTAGATATGGTTTATTTGATAATGTGGAATATTAAAGCCACAATATTTACATGGAGACAAGCCCTACTCCATGTCAAATAAGAATCAGGTTTGTGGAGCTGCAAGCCTACTCAGGGGATGCATATTTTTCAGTGCAATAAACACATCCAAAATGGAAAAAAAAAAAAATTATTATTTTTTTTTTTCCAGTCTATATTGGTCTAATAGCCTAAGTATTTACATATTATATATAGGTTCATTGTGTAACTTTTCTGGTGGAGGGTCCGTCAAATGCTTTTCTCCACACAGATGTTATTGCTTTGTCAGGAATGTTTCACTGTATGGTGTTAAACTTTTCTATCTTCATGGAGACCAAACCAGACCAAGCTACAGGTCAGATCTGTGAAGAGGTGTCCCCGCTCTTAGTCAGAATGCCTGTTTTTCTAGGTATGTTTGAGCTATAAAACCACCTGTAATTAAATAAATGTAAAGTAGGTCTGTTTATTAACATTTTATTGTGGAACATTCAAAGCAGAGCAATGACCTATCCCTAGAAACAAGAAGGGGATGGATCCCCAACCATAAAGTCACACTGTGCACCTTTAAATAATCTAGTATAATAAATAACAAATAAAGCAGTTTGGATTTAACAGCTTACCTATTAGAAGCAGTAGAGCTGTGAGCCTGAGCAGAGCCATGGCTGGACATCTCCTCTCTCTCCCCAGTCACTTTTAAACCACCTGTCTTCATTTCCTCTTTAACAATATGAACAAAAGACAAGATGAGCACTTCAAATTAATGGCACAAAGCTCAGAGTTTAAAGAAAAAAGATTAATTACCATGTGGTTTTTGTGTTGTCTGTGTGATCTATGGGTTGAGTCAGTGAGCAAATACACGGTGCATCCAGACAAGAGGGAACGCCATTGTTATACATCACCTGTGCATAAAATAAACACACTGGGTTCGATAACATCGCAATATCCTATAGCTCTAACCCAGGGGTGGGCAATTATTTTTTCCATGGGGCCACATGAGAAACAGAAAATATTGTGGGAGGCCGGGCCAAAATGTTTAACTCAATTATGCCTAATATTAAGTGTATTTCTTTATAAAAAGCAGAAAATAGCATTGTTTTGATGAGCTGGTTTATGAGTTTATGTTATGACTAAGTTATGAAAAAGTGAGGTTGCCTTACAGAAAATGTCATTAAAAAACACCTCTAAAATAAAAGCAATGCAGCTTTAGTCCATGTATGAGGTAAAATGAGAAAATATGTTTATTTTGTAATTCCAAATTAGCTTAAAGGGGCCAGTCAGAGTCAACCAAAGGGCTGAATGTGGCCCGGGATGTGTACATTGCCTAGTTTTGCTCTAACCTCTGTAATTAAAGGTGCATTATCTAACTTTTCTGGTGGAGGGTCAATCAAATGCTTTTCTCCATGGAGATGTTTAAACAGTTCTATATACCTTCCATAATCATCATGGAGATCAAACTTAGACAGAATTTATTGATCCACAAGGGAAATTACTTGGACACAGTAACTCACACATCACATTATATTACAATAACAAAGAGTAAAACATATAAAAAATGGGACTAAAGCTTCTAAATAAGCAGCAAAATGGCAAGAGAAGGGTGTCAAATAAGACATATTATATAAATCTATATTTACAAGTAAGTTAAGTAAGTATATGCACATGTAAGTAAACCAGACCAAGTTACATGTCAGATCTGTGGAGAGGTGATCCCACTCACAGATAGAATGCCTTTTTTCAGGTATTTTTTTTAGCAATAAAACCCCCTATAATTGAATAAATGTAAAGTAGAGCTGTTTAATGTGGAACATTCGAGGCAGAGCAATGACATATCCATAGAAACAAGCAGGTGATGGAACCCCAACAAAAAAGTTGCTTAGTGCACCTAAACTATTAACTTCACTAAAACAGAGCTAACAAAATTATATTTAACATTTCACAAATAAATCTATCTTAGCTTTTTCTCATTATTTGATTTTTAAAATTATTTAATGTTAATAATTTAACTTCCTAGTTGGACATGGAGAGCAGATTTGACACACAGTATATAGAGGTAAATCCGTAAGTGTTATATGGCAACCATAATGTTAACAAGGGCCAAAACATGTCTTAATTACACAATAGTTAAACACATATTTGATTAAATCAGTACTGAGTTCATGAGAAAAATATGTTTCTTGTGTGCAAACTAAATTGTCCCTGTGTTTTGGATGGAAGTTTTGTTGACATAGGTATTTTGTTTTAGAACTAGTACTCCTTCCTCTATTTTTGTACTTTTCCTGTCAACTATTTTCCACAAACTGCCACTTAACTGATGTAAAACTATATTACTATCCCACCAAACCAACTAAGCATTAGAAATCCTGTTATATGCACTTTAAGTCTGTAGTGCCTCATTAAAAAATACTGAAAGATGATTTTAGAATACAGAATACAGATATAACCATATGTTCATCTCTAATTTGTAAATTCTCTTGAAATGCCTGATTCCCTCTGAACTCAGAAGCTAAGCAGGGATGGGCTGGGTTAGTACTTGGATAGGAGACCACTGAATACCAGCAGTAGCTCTAGTAGTCTTACATAATGTTGTTGTGTCCTTAGACAAGACACTTCACCCGCCTTGCCAATTAAAATGCAACCGTGTGCAAATTATTTTGATTCTTAAAGAAAGATTTTGGCTACTGCACCAGAACCATGAATCTTAAGGTGTTTATGGGTTTAACAAAAAACATGCAAACTGCAAAAACTGATGTGAGTAATCAGAGGGACCATGATCAAAAAGAAATTTTATGGTAGTGACTCATTTCTATTTCCTCACTTCCTTCTCCTTGATTCCTCTTCTTGATTCTACAAGGAAATGGGTGAGGAAGTTCACCCACAGAGGAGACACAGGGAGGACTCACTCTGAGACCGATAAAGTTTGATCCTTTTACCTGATGTCTGCTCCTGAAGCTCCTTACTCCTTCATTCCATAGTTTTCTTTGGGACACCACTTAATATGACACATTTGATTGGCAGTTGAAAAATGGAGGATCAAGGAGAGAAATCAGGGAGAAGGAAACGAGAAAAGAGAAATGAGACGCGGCCTATAATTCGAAAATTTAATAATCAGACTTTGCATGCACATGCTACTGCAGCCACTGTTTTTAGCCCTACTTTTGCTTGTGTGCCCCTCTTCTTCATCACGCTATTTAAATGTGCGAGATTGTAGATGTAAAAGTGCATATTTTTTACAGTTACACAATCTTGCCGTTTTTACCATGGATCTTCTTACTTCCATTGCTTTTACTAAAACTTAGCCTTTGGTGTGTCCCTCTTCTCTCCTCCGTGAGCGGGCGCTCTGGCGCTAGGACCCTGAAGCCGCCGTGACGTCGCTGCGTCAGACCGTTCCAAGATGGCAGACCAAAATGCAGGCAGCTCCAAACTAAACTTCTACAGCGAGGTTCTCACGTAAGAATCGCTACTTTTTATTACTTAAATCACACAGTCTATTAAAGATGTATTTTATTTATGTGTCTAGATGTTTTTGTGGTGATTGTAGCTCTTAAAAGTGACAATATTTGAAAGGTAGTCCAAATGGAGCTAGCGTTAGCTGTACTGTTTTTAGCATGGATGTAGCTGTCATGATTATTTAGAATATTTTACAAATACATGAATACGTACAAATTTACTCCTTTCATGTCTCTTCTGGAAATAGTTAAGCCATGTGAAACTGTGAACTCGATTAACTTGAATGTGTTGCACTCCTCCGTAGTTTTATGAGTAGTGTTAAATCAAAAAAATGAAACAGGAACAATAATGTGCCTAGTCTAGGGTGACCAGACGTCCCTATTTACTCGAGACAGTCCCAGTTTTGAGCTCGGTGTCCCCTGTCCCAGCAGATTTATCCAAAACCAGTGATTTGTCCCGGTTTCATACAAGAAATGTCCAAGGTGTCCTTATTTTAGACCAATTTGATCTAACCCAGGTCTAAAGCAGGACTACATCAACTCTAAACCTGGACTAAAACAGGATTATGACAATTTTTGACTAATCTGATCCCCACCAACAATAAAGAGGGGCATAAATTGTTATTTGTTTAGCCAAAATACAGAAATCTGTGTTTATGAATGACCATAAAGCAAAAAAAAATAAAAATGCAGCAACAGAAGTCCCTCAGATTATCACTGCCATGTGAATGTACAGTGTTACACACTCTTTTCACAATGTTATGTATACCAGCCAAACAAACGGTGTGTCCCATTTTAGAAGTTTGAAAATCTGGTCACCCTAGCTTAAACAGTAGTACTGTTTCTGTTCAGAATATGCCTAAAATGTATATTTACTTAAAGACTTTCAATTGTAAGCAGAACTGTCCTAATTTTTTATCAATCTGAAAAGCATGGATAGGAGAGAACTATGAGCTAATTCTTCCAAAATAGTACCTGTTGTTCTCTTTATTCTAGTCCGTCTGAGCTGTTTGCGGCGCGTTCTCGGAGTCATAAGATCCCAGTGAGAGGGCAGAAGGACTTCATGCCTGACGGTTCCGAGGAGCAGAAACAGAAGCTGGAACAGGCCCTTGAGGAGCACTGGAGTTTAATCTCGGAGGAAAGAGTTGAACGACTGTGAGTAGGAAAATGACAGATATTCATATTTTGCAGCTGATGTCATCAACGTTCCCTGGGGTGTGATGCTAACTGTAGGCATTGCTCTGTCTGAAGTTCTGTGACTCAAATTAGACTTTAATTAGTGCTTTGTTTTAACATAATCTGACCAGAAAAAAACAGCTTTAGATTTAGACTTAAGGCCGCCACACACTACAGGAAAATTTGCTCGATTTTGGCTGCGACTTGCTTCTTTCTGAGTTCGGGGAGGCATGACCTGACTTTGTGTCTTTGGGTGCAATTTTGAAGCCACTGCGCTCCTCCTGTGTGGTGTCAGTGTTACTCTGAGCTGCTCTGTCAGATTGTAATGACCAAACATCAGCAACACCACAGTAATAGCCGATAACACAGTGTCAGGGGCAGACGGAGTGACGGACACAGAGGTGTAACATACAAACTCACCTCTCAAAAGTTGTAAATTTACACTGCAGCATCACATCCACATTATCCATAGAATTCATCTTATGCAAATATTGACACTTAGTCCAGAAAACAGAGCTGTTAATCCAGTTTGAAGCGTTCTTTGGCAAGAGTAGTTCCTCATGTGTGTCTTTTTACATCCATGAAGCTGTAGATTAGCGACCTGTGTACTTTATCACCAGCCTTCTGTACATTAAAAATTATATGTCTGAAGTTTTGCACCACATTTCACAAATAATAATAACACAGTTTTGACTTTCATCTAAACTATAAGTGCAGTGCTCTGTTACTTTGAACACTTTAAGAGTCTCAAAGCGAGTGATTTTACTGTAGACAGGAAACAGCTGACACAAACGCACTCACAACTTTATAGCCTGTGGTCCTCAGCCATATCCTGCTGCAGAGATCTAAAATCAAAGAAGATTCTCCTCACGCCTGTGGTGTGCGCTTTTTTCACATGTTTAAAAATCGTTTAAAACTGAAAAATCCTGTAGTGTGTGATGACCTTTAGATTTGTGCTGTTAAACAATCATTAGCCACAGTCAGCAACAGTCAGTCAATCACTCTCAGCTTTTTGTTGAAAATCAAGCACGTAAACAGGACCATGAACTCTCATATTGACCACAGGCTTCTGAAAATGTGTTGTTTAAATCCTTTTTGTAATTTTTTAAAATATTTTTTTTGCTGTTTAGAGATCAGTTTTGCAGTTTACATTAACAAAAGTCAAATAATGATATATGTAGAGTATTGTTTAATACTAAATACCAGGAAAAATGCATAATATGTCTTCTTTAATGTGTTACTGAAAACTTTTAAATTTTTGCTCCTTTTGGTTCCACCAGAGGAAGTTTAGTGAAAGGTGTGTGGATACCTGAAGAGCAGATCATTGAGCTTCAAACTCCAGCTGTAAGTCTGAGAAAATGTATTTATTTTGGATGCAATGTTTTTAACAACTATACCAAGGCTAAACTAAACTAAATAATATATATTTAATGTGTTTTAGGGAAGGTTTTGGCAGACAATGGGGTTTTCAGCTAATGGGAAACAGTATCTGCTCCCTGAAGAGGCCCTGTTCCTCATGGAGTGTGTGAGTGATAAGAATGCTGTTTTGTGTGTGTGTGTTTTCTTTAAATACAGTATATTTAATCTTGGAGTGTTCCACAGTAGGCGTGATCCTAAAATACTGTATAAAATTAAATGTATGTATGTATGTTAAAAATCTATAAAATACGTTGTGTCTTTCAGGGGAACGTACAGGTGTTCCACCAGGATCTGCCTTTTTCAATTCAGGATGGATATGAGAACTTCCTGTCATCAAAATCAATCACTTTTCAGCAATATCTAGTAAGACATTATGAAGTATAGGACTGAATCTGGAGAGGAAATATGAGACAATGACAGTGGTGGAATGATTTTGACACATCTGTAAAGACTGAGACTGTTTCTGCTCATTCAGGTTTATGGACACCTGAAGAGGCTGGGATATGTGGTGCTCAGGTTTGATCCCAGGTAATGAAAGCATTGTAATATTTTGAGACAATTGTACAGGTACGTGTTTTTGACTACTAGCACCAGAGACAAATCAAATCGTTCCTTATACCTTCAGACCACTTTAGTCCTCCAGGTTCTGAGTTTAACAGCTCTATTTGAAATGCGGTTGTGGGAGGAGTTTAGGGGATTAGTCCCACATTAAAGCTTCTATATATTACGCAAAATTAACTCTTGTGAGCTTTAAGCCATGTTGTAATGCTGTTACCTTCTCTGAAATTCACACATTTTTGAGTAATCCTGTCTCAAAATGCACTGTTCCAACTTGTGATATCATGAAGCGTTAGTTTTCATGTTAACAGCTACCTTTTACCTTTTTCTTCAGTAGAAATTGACAGTCCAGGCCAATGATGTTCATTTTGTCTAATTATTTTTTCTTATAAATTGACAGTTCCAGGGCTGAAATGATCCAAACGATTCTAGTGAAGGTGTATGGAGTTTAAAAACATAGTGGAGCACTTCCTGTATTACCACATGACATCACAAGATGGAACAGAGTGTTTGAGATTCACTAAATATACAGGGTTTGTTGTGTTAAACGTGTGAATCAAACAAAACACAATCCCAGGTACGTTTGTGATGAGGAAATAAGATTATAACAGATCAGAAAACAGATTAATAAAGAGTTTGAGTTTTCCATTGTTAGCATGTGTAATTTTATATTGCATACTATTAAATCAGTGTATATATTGTGTATCATCATGTATATCTTATTTTCAAAGATAAAACATTTAAATGAAATGGTGGTATCGTGGTATCATATTGTCAAAAGTCTCTCAATAATATCGTGAACCATCACAATATAAGGTTCTTTGTTTAAATTAATAGTTATGGTGCAGCAATAGCTAAAAAAAAACTACATGGACCATGATCCTTTGCTCCTTAGGCTTTCAGTGTGGACTACATGAAGAAATAACTGTTCTAAGCACTCTGAAATCTTTATTCTTTGGATTAAGTCTTGTCAAGGCATTTTAAGACGAAAAAGTAGTATATGCACAGTTTGGTCAGCCTTTGGTAGAAATTTGAATATGGTTACATGTCATGTAATAATGTAGATGATAAAATAAAATGTATTTTCTCTCTACAGTTCAGAGCCATCTGCATATGCGCGTCAGCTAAACCTGCCTGTGTCCAAAGACAGAGCCCCAAGAGGCAACAAGAGGAAGCGCAGCCCCTCTCCTCCTTGGTAACAATATCTCACCACCTCTGTGGGTCCCACACATCTAATGCAAATGGAAAAATGTGTAGTGTGCGTTGTAGCATAAGACCCTGTGGGCAAATCTCCATGTCTTTATTTAAGACACATATTAAAGGTGTAACTTTTTGGTTGGGTGTGGTTGGTTGGCTTGTTTTCATGGATATGTCGTCACTCTGCCTGAATGATGTCTCCCTGTTCAGTTACAGGTGGTTTTATATCGCCATGGAGATAGAAAGGTTTAATACCATACTGTGAAACATGCTAGACAAAGCAATAACATTTCCATGGAGAAAAGCATCTGACAGACCCTCTACCCAAAAAGTTACACAATGCACCTTTAAATACATACATAATGCATGGATTTGGAATCTTTACTTTATTTGTTTGTTTGGATCATTTTAACCTTTTCTTTTTTGTGCAGTCCAAGTAACAGCCAAGGTGGAACCACAGTGGAGCAAATGGAGCAAGAACCTGAAGGGCAACAGCCTGCAACGCCAAGGTGAGTTTTAACAAATAAATGATACCAGTAATAAGTCTTAGTTTTGATAATATGTTAAACTTAGACTTTATTCATCCACAAGGGAAAGTATCTCACATATCACAATATAATATAATAACAAAGTGAAAAATTATATAAATGGTAATAATAAAAATATTATGCTATTTTCTGATCTATGTCATAATGTTGTTTCCTCATCACAAACACACCTGGAATTTTGTTTTGTTTCATTCACACATGTTTAACACAAAAACCCTGTATATTTCGGCTGAGTTCTTCTCTCAAATGAAAAACACTGTTCCACCTTGTGATGTCATGGTAATATAGGGAGGGCTCCACTGTGTTTTCAAATGCCATACACCTTCACTGGAATCAGATAGATGATTTCAGCCCTGGAATTGAAAATCTCTACTGAACTAAATGTCAAATGTAATGACATCACAAGGTGGAACAGAGCATTTTGAGCTTTGGAGATACAGACAGACTAATAATACAGGGTTACTCAAGCATGTGTCAGTGAAACAAAACACAACTCCAGGTCTGTTTTTGGTGAGGTAACAACATTCTAACACTGCTTAAAGCTCACAAGAGTCAGTTTTGCGTAATATAGGATCTTTAACAAATAAACAAAATGCAGTGTTGAAAGTTACTGTATGTGTTGTGTATTGTGTTAAAAGCTGTCAGAGTGAAGGTGAGTCAATGGAGGAGGAGCCTGACTTGAAGCAGGAAGTGATCCGAAGGTCCAGGGTCAAACAGGGTTCATGGTGGACTCCAGGGAAAACCTCAGGATCCAGCTCCACGTCTGGATCGCGAGAGTGGGACTTCAGCTCGATAAACTTCCCTGATGTGGGCTCTGGTAGGGACCAAAATGTACCATGGCAAAAACTATAACTGATCACTGCTTTGAGTCAGATCTGAACTAAGACTAAACCAGGATTAAACTAGGATTAAACCAGGACTAAACCCAGTCTAAACTTGAACTAAAGCATCCAAGCCAGAACTCAAAATTGAATCATAATCTTTGTACTTAAAAATCATTGCTATTAATCAGATCTGAATCAGCGCCAAGTCAACACTAAATAAGGACTCGACTATGACTTAACTGGGTCTAAACCAGAAATAAACCAGAGCTAAACTAGGAACAAGGCTGATTTAAGACATAAAACCCAGATTATTTTAAAAGTGCATTGCGCAACCTTTCTGGTAGAGGGTCCGCTACCTCCATGGAGATGTTATTGCTGTTATATTTCATGGTATGACACTAAACATACCCATTGAGAATTTATTCATTACAGGAATGTGTTGGTGTTTCTAGTGCGCAAAAATACATTAATTCCCACTTTGAATAGGGGCGTCTCTCCACAGATCTGAACTGTAATGTACCATAGTGCTGTAACCTGCTTGTCTTCCTCAAAATAGATAGGATTAATCTATACTGTGGAACATTATAGACGAAGCAATAGCATCTCCATGAAGACAAACCAGTGACCGACCCTCCAATTGAAATGTTACGTAGTACACCTTTGATGGTCAGTGATTACTACTCGTGAGATCAGAACTAGGAACAACACTGTAGAAGGGTTCACAGTTATCCTGGTTTGAGCTCAATGTAGTCCTGATGTAGACTTGATTTGGACCTGCTTCAATCCTGGTGTAATCCTGGTCTAATCCTGGTGTAATTCTTATCTAGTCCAGTCACAGTTTTTTTAAGGTATATTTGAGCTATAAAACCACCTGTAATTTATTAATTGTAAGGTAGAGATATCCATAGAAACAAGCAGCCGACAGACCCCCTACCAAAAAGTTACACAGTGCACCTTTAAGCCTGAACTAAACCTGGACTAAACAGGGATTTAACAGTATTCAAATCTCACAGTACAATTCCAAAATAAACACTATGTATACTGGTCATTTAAGAGTAAATTGTTTTTCTGTTTTTGCTCAGCCCTCAGATCTCGGCCTGATGATGTTGTGTCTTTGGCCGCTCCTGATCCATCTCTTCTTCCCGGGGCTCTGTCTGTCGGGCCCTGCGACGTCACCCGCTGGAGGCGGAGGATAAACCTAAAGGAGGTCTACATGTCGCCAAAAGATCGACAAAGGGAAGAGGAAGCAAACAGACAGTGGATGGACGTCAACAGGGACCCAGAGGTTTGTTTATTTATTTATTGCTCATACCATTATTTTGTTGGTGTCAGTTGAGACCAACAACAGCAAAAAGTCTAACAATTAATATAGACACATGTTCCAATCACTGTGTGCCTTATCTTGTCTTATAAACCCTGCTCCTTTCACAGATCAAATCAAACAAAATCAAATAAATGTCTTTAATAATCGTTCCCCCACCCCCAAGTCAACAATGAGCCATATTCATTTTATAATATCCCTCTCGTGGTTTACCTTTCATCAACTTAAACATTTTCCTTAGTCACATAGTTCATCATTATTTTATCCTTGTACAGTTTTTTTTTTAAATTTAGAAACACTAGTGCAACTTTTAAAATCATGATTTAACAAGTCCGATAGCTACACAGAGATGCATTTCTGTTTTAACATTATAACATAGGTCAGAAAATAGTGAAATATGGGCCCTTTCAATCCGAATTCTAATAAGTGAAATAATTGTGATCTGTGTACTGTATTAAAGGTTCGTCGATGCAGGAGTTGGTCGGAGTATCGGGCGCTGTTGGCCAGGCGGGGGTCAGATGCCAGAGGTCGTCCAGGTCATCTTTGGGACAGAGACGTCACGCCTCTTCACGACCCCAGACAGATCATACCCCACGGTGAGAAAAGGGAGAGAACCAATATTTAATCCGAAAGATCCTACATTCTGCTAAATTGACTGAGGAAAGTGTAGCTTTTAATAGTGTTTTAATTCTTAATCTTAAAGGTCCAATATTTTGCTACTGTCTCTTATGAGCTTTAAACCATGTTATAATGTTGCTACATCCTTAAAAACAGACCTGGAGTTGTGTTTTGTTTAATTTCTCATTTGAGTAATCCTTTATTATTACTCTGTCTGCATCTCCAAAGCTCAAAATGCTCTGTACCACCTTGTGATGTCATGAAATGGTAGTTTTCAAGTTAACAGCTACTGTGCTTTCTGTTTGAGAGAAGAACTCAGCCTATGCATGGTTTGTGTGTTAAACATGTGAATGAAACAAAACACAACTCATGGCATGTTTGTGATGAGAAAACAAAATTATAACATATATCAGAGTATCACAGTGTATCATGGGATCTTTAAAAAACATACCTAGAGTGTTGTGTTGTTTCATTCATTTTCAGAGTAGCCACAGGGTCTTAAAAGTTTTAAAAAGGACTTAAATTTCATGTTCTTGAATTAAGGCCTTAAAAAGTCTTAAATTATGTCAAAGTCTTATTTTTTTCATAAAGGTCTTAAATTTCATTTTCAACTTTGGTACTTTGGTAATACTTTGGTTTCAGGCGCTGGTGGCAATGAGTAAACAATCAGTAGAGTGGAGGAAGTTGTTGGATGGATCATGGGGAAGTGTAGTGTGTTTAATCCACAGTGGCTCTTAGATTCTAGATATAGTAGTTGGTTGGTCATTATTAGAATTGAATCTGGTGTTTTTCCACTCGCATAATGGGTGCAATGTTGGTCTTAATTTTCATTTAAGTGGTCTTTAAAAGGTCTTTAATAAGTCTTAAATTTCAGCAAGTCAAACCTGAGGATACCCTGATTTTGATCCTGCTCAAAGTGAAACTAAATGTTTTTTTTGTTTGTTTGTTTTTTATAGAGGAGCTACTGGACAAAATCGGTATCATCAAGTCAACTAATTTACTGGAAGGAGCTTCGAGGTAAAAATTATTTACTTATTTAGTACTTATCCATGGTTGTTTTTAATAATAAAAAATTACAAATTTGTATAAAATGTATACATTTTATAAATTCAAATATTAATATTTATAAAAAAATAAAAACTTAAAGGTGCATTGTGTAACTTTTCTGCTGGAGTGTCCATCAGACTCTTTCCTCTGTGGAGATGTTACTGCTTTGTCTGGAAAGTTTCACAATATGGTATAAAAATTTTCTGTCTTCATGGAGACCAAACCAAGTTACTGGTCAGATATATGGAGAGGTGACCCCCGCTCACAGTCAGAATGCCTGTTTTTGTAGGTATTTTTGAGCTATAAAACCGTAGGGTGATTGAAATAATATAAAGCAAAGCTGTTTAATGTCATACTGTGGAACATTCCCGGTAAAGAAAGAAATGACATATCCATAGAAACAAGCAGGTGGCAGACTGTCAACCAAAGAGCTACGTAGTGTACATTTAAAGGCATCTATCTTGCATGTAATCCATTACAGGTGTTTTGTTGTTTTATCGCTTAAAAATCCCTAAAAACATGACACTGTGAGTTTGCTCTGATCTGTAACTTAGCCCTGTGCTATTACCTACTTGTCTCCATAGAGATAACTTTAATACATAGATTATATAAAAAGTGGATTAAAGGAGCATGGCGTCACCCATAGCATTCGGCCCCAGTCAAATAAAGTTCACTGAGACTTTCCGTTATAGGGGCAAATTTGGAGTACAGTTCCGTATTAGGAATAGAAATTGGAAAAAAATGAAATTTCTTTTAATTTATTATTGTTATTATTATTATTATGATTTTTTTTGTTTGTTTGTTTGCTATATCTCTATCTCCTCACTTGAGCTCATCCCCCTTAATTTTAGGACCAAAATGATGTTTCTCAATACAAATTGAATTGGAGCATATTGTGAAATATTCAAGGCAAAGCATTAGCAATTACATTTCTATAGACACAAGCAGGTCGTGAACCCTCAGCTGGAAAAGTTACATATTGCATCTTTAAATGGGATATTATTGATTTGCCTGAATTGTCCCACAAAATGGCATAAAACTTATCTAACCCCATGGACAGCTGCCAAGTTACAGGTCAGATCTATGGGAAGACAAACCCCACTCACAGTAAAAATACATGTTTTTCAAGGCATAAACAATGTCCAGGCAATGTAATATCTCCATGGAGACAGGTAGCAAGCAAGTAGCGGACCCTCCACCTGAAAGTTACATAATGCATGTTTAATCATTCATTCATGTATTTGTGTTTCAGTTTAAAACCTTTGGACAATTGGAAGATCAGCTTCAGTGTTTTTCAGCCTGACTCTGCATCTACTTTTAAGAAGAGCAGTCCAGGGAGGCCCTATGCACGGATGGTGGTTTGCAGGTGAAGACAATATTCAACACATGCTTATTTAAAGGTGCATTATGTAGCTTTTCTGGTGGAGGGTCTGTCAGATCCTTTTCTTCATGTAGATGCTGTTGCTTTGTCTCGAACGTTTCACGGTATGGTATTAAATATTTCTATCTTCTTGGAGACCAAACCAGACCAAGGTAACATAGATACCTTTTCATTTTTTAGACTGATTTAGTTTGACTGAACAAAATTAGGTAGACTTTACCCAAATTGCAATCAAAACTAAACCTCTATTTTCCAGAAGTAGTAAGACCAAACGGTAAAATTAAAGAAATTAAATCATTAATGTGTGTTTGCTGTTTATGTAATTATGTTATATGAAATTACGGGTAAAATGTGAAAGGATAATTTTTAAATGCTCAAAGATGACTCTCTTGGCTTCATGGATTAAATGTCCAAAATTACACAAAGTGAATTCTTGAGCGCTTTAAGCCATGTTATAATTTTGTTCCCTCCTCAAAAACCTAGAGTTGCATTTTGTTTCATTCATACGTCTGAGTAATCCTCGTTTATTAGTCTGTCTACATCTCTAAAGCTCAAAATGCTCTGTTCCACCTTGTGATGTCATGAAGCAGTATCTTAAGTTACATTTGACCTTTAGTTCAGGAGAGACTGGCGTGACCTGGGCTGAAATAGTCAGGTGGAGTATGGTTTGTAAAAACAAAGTAGAAAATTTCCTCGAAACTGGCAGGTATGAAAACAAACTCTTGGACTGAAAAAAGAACCTAATAAGATAAATTATCGAAAGACTAAATTAACCTCATTACACTATGGACATGGACAACAATGTGTTAAGGAATTACGGAAATTAGAACAACTGGAATCGAAAAGGGCATGTTTCCGGTTGAAACTGTCAGGCATGAAAACAAACTCTTGATGGGAAAAAAGAACTTAATAACCTAGAAAATTTCCTGTATTACCACATGACATCACAAGGTGGAAGAGAGTGTTTTCAGTTTGAGAGAAGAACTTTAATTATGCAGGTTTGTGCATTAAACATTTGTGAATGAAACAAACAAACTCCAGGTCTGTTTGTGATGTGGAAACAACATCATAACATAGATCAGAAAATATGTATGTATAATATAGTGTAATAATGGGTTCTTTAATGAAAAAAAGCATCAGTAGCACAAAATAAAATACAAAATACAACTCCAGTTTTGGTTATGGCTAAAAGCTCGTAAAGGACAATTTTGTTTTAATTCCCCAACAATTGCTGTGAGGTTGGATTGTCCAGGTTGAGATAATATGTATATTTTTTTGGCATCCAGGCTCACTAAAAATGGCAGATGGCCCTCAACTAATGTTTATTTAAAGATCCTTTTACATCAAACACAAAAGGGTCACAATGAAATGAATGGTGCCTAATAGTGGGGAGGGTTAATGGAGTCACTGTGGAATGGTTATGCACACCACCAGTGTTTTATAGACCAGTATTAATTAAAACAGATGGAAGCTAATTTCTTTCATCTTTTTAAAATTTAATACCGCTGAATTTCTCTTTGAATTTTTAAACTCTGAAAAAACATTTCTTTATTATTTATTCTGAATGGTAGTTGAAGAAATGATATGTGTACAGTTTTAAAGTGTTAAAAAAGTGTTTAAAAGTGTAACTACACTTTTAAAAGCCTTGGACCCATTTTCCCCCATGTATTTGAGCAAAATGTCTTACTCCAGTCCAGATATATTATATAAGCAGCTCTAGGATGCTCTGAAATCAAAAAGTAAGTGAGGAGTAGCTGTAAACCATTTAAAATGAACTAGTTTTGTTTTTCATGTTTTTAAGACACTCAAAATCAGGTACAGTGCCTTTAATATAAGTATAAACAAAGACTTAATTAATAATGTAATAATGAATAAATAGTGCATAGAGGCTAAAGAAGATTCAGGCATCAGGCAGTTTAAAGTACTATCTGACATTTATTCAATTACAAATTTATTTTTTTTTAAAAAGAGAGAGAAGGATGATTGTTATGTTATTCTGTTTTAAAGTACATTACGCAACTTTTCTGGTAAAGCGTCCGTCACCTGCTTGTCTCCATGGAGATGTTACTGCTTTGTCTGGAATGTTTCACAGTATGGTATTAAAGCTTTCTGTCTTCATGGAGACCAAATCAGACCAAGTTACAGGTCAGATCTGTGGAGAGGCGACCCCGCTCACAGTCAAAACACCTGTTTTTCTAAGTATGTTTTAGCTATAAATCCACCTGTGAGTGAATAAATATAAAGTAGAGCTGTTTAATGTCATACTGTGGAATTCCAGGCAGAGCAGTAAAGTGTATAGAAAAAAGCAGGTGACGGACTCTCCACAAAAAGTCACAGAGTGCACCTTAATATTATTCTGTTTAACATTCCAGACAAAGCAACAACAAACACGTGACAGACCCAACACCAGAAAAGTTACATAGAGTATCTTTACAAACACACCTATGCACTTCTGAACTATCTTCTTTTTTTCTCTAGTTTCAATGACCCTGTCCCAGATTTGACTGTCTTAAAGCAGCTGTCCTCTCAGAGTCCAGAAGTGGCGCTAGTCTTCGCTGCAGTTGACCACGGAGACATTTCCTTTTATACATTTAAGGACTTCCACATCCCCAAAGATGTCTTCCCTTGACAACAGCAAAAATCACTGAACCACTGTGGCACTCAGGAAATTTTTATACAATGACAGTGTCCCTCCACTAACATTGCACTCTCAAATTAAAGGGTTATAATGTTGTTTCCTCATCACAAACAGACCTGGAGTAGTTTTTTGTTTCATACACACATGTTTACACACAAACCCCAAGTTCTTCTGTCAAACACTCTTTGTTCCACCTTGTGATGTCATGTGGTAATACAAGAAGCACTCCACTGTGTTTCTAAACCTCATGCACCTAGAATAGTATAATTTGGATGTTTTCAGCCCCAGAATTTCCTATCTCTACTAAACTAGAGGTAAAAGGTTAGCTGTTAACTTGAAACTGCTGCTTCATGACAACACACGGTGGAACAGAGAATACTGAGCTTTGGAGATTAGACAGACTAATAATAAAGGGTTACTCAATGGTTTAAAGTTCACAAGAGTCAATTTTGTGCATATAGGACCTTTTAAAACTGAAATTTATAAGGTTATATTTTTGCTGTTTTGTTGTTAATTTTGCAGTCCTTTCACTTTTGTGCCATACATAATTTATAAGTATTAACAAGAGAATCCTAGAACATATTAACAGAAATATTCACACACAATTTCAGAGACCTTTTGATCCCAGTTTGCTGAAATTAATGAAGATTTTTGGAAACAGGCTAATTAATACACACATTCAGTCTTTAACCCTGCTTTTGGATCATTGGCATCTAGGAATAGGGCGAGATCAGGTCCACAAGAATGAGACGAGATTTTAACATAATTCCTAATATAGAAATGCCATGATTCTGTTTCCAATTTTTGCCCTTTTTTTTTTTTTTTTTTATGTAATATTTTTGTTTCCATTCTAGAAATGCTTTTTGGAACTGTAACAACAAGTAAATCTTTTTTGTCCAATCCAAATGTAAATACATGGGAAAAACTTTGATAATTTTTTGTCTCACGAGATCTTGTGGCACAACATCTTGTCCCACTCCTATTGGTGTCCGCTATTGGATATAAGAATACGCTTATTTGAATTTAGCATTAACTGTGGAATTTAATTATCTGTTAAAAATATATATATTTGTAATTTGATTTGTGTTAATATTTCTAAGCAGAACCTCCATGTTGTTAAATTAAACATTGTTTACATTTGGAAAAGGTGCTAGTATTAATGGAGGGCACTGTTTGTTTTAATACAATGGGTTTTGTAAGTCACTCTTGATTGATTGATTAATTATTGTAATTTTAAATAAAAAACAAAACACTATTTTAAATCTTTTTCGGATATTTGTGAGAGCTTACATTTAGTTACCCATGGTAACTTGTGTTTGGTTCCATTTATGTAATAGAGTCAATAGGTTAGCTCTATGGGCCCCACTGCAAACAGTCTCTGCAATTAACTCACATATTTGTATACAATACGTAGGACAGCACAATATGACAAAAATATATCTGATAACTACATTAAAAGGTTTTGTCCGCTACATTTGAAGGTTTTTTGTTTAAAATAAGTCAGCTTTGTACTGTCTGCATTTAAATGTTTTATTGTCCGATAATCAGGAATATGTGCTTAGCATTCTAGTTATCATTTTTCATTTTCAGTAGATATTTAAAACCAAAAGTATCAGTAACCATATCAGAACTGAAAAACTTGGATGTGTGCGTCCCTAAAAGAAAGTACCGGTACTAAGATTTAATGATAAAAATGACATTATGTTGCCTTTTTTTTGTTTTGTTTTTTATTTACTTTTTATTTAATAGGGTGCATATTGGACATCTGTAATTACAGTGTAAATATGGCCAATTATAGAAAAGATCCTAATTTCCATCTGTTGTCCCTTGACAGGTGACACTGAAAACAATTACAAAATTCAAAACAGTTACAAAGAGACATAACACAGAAGAGTAAAAGGCCAGATTAAAAGTGTTCACAGACTTGATTATCCTTCATCCACAGTTAAGGTGCAGTTTGAATGGAGATGGAGATGGATTTTCTCTTATTGTCAGTGGGAGACTGTTCCAATAATTATTCCTTTTGACAGACATGAATTTTCAAAATGATCAAAAATGATTAACTAAACTTATCCCAAACATTGCAGTGGTGATATGAGTGGTGCTTTTTGTCTAAGACTTTCTTTATCATTGAGATAACGGTGTTGAGTATCGAGTTTATTTCTTCCTAATGTGACAAGACGAGAAATTACTTTCTAAATTCAATTTGATTAATACTTGGTCCTAGTTTGAGCCCTTTAGTAAACAGACATCTTTGGTCCATAGTCCACTAGAAGTCTATATTCAGATAACACAGGGGTCAGGGTATATAGTACAGAATAGTACAGAGCACTTCATATAAAAACGAGTTCCCAGTGATCAGCCAAGACAACGCTTCAGACTGCAGGTAAGTCCACAACAACTTAGTCATTTATATAAGCCACACCACCAAGAACTTTTTGAAAATATTTTAAGGATTTTAACTTAAAGTGGGACTGAACAATTCCACAACTTGTTGTTTCCTCTTCACAAACAGACCTGAACTTGTGGTTTGTTTCGTTCACACGTTTAACACACAAACCCTGCGTTCTTCGCTCTAACTGCTTCACCTTGTGATGTAATGTAAAACAGGAAGTGCTCCATTGTGTTTTTGAAGTCCATACAATAATTTGTATGATTTCATACCTGGAATTTCCCATCTCTACTGAACAAAAATTAGAAAGTAGCTGTTAACTTAAAAACTACCACTACATGACATGAACAAGCATTTTGAATCCACAAAGCTTAACACTGAAATGTAGTCTACAGTAGAGCCCGACCGATATATCGGTTGGCCGATATTATCGGCTGATATGGGCAACTTTAGGCCGATAGCCGATATGCTTGCTGATAGGGGCCGATATTTCACGTGGGCATGTTATACCTCGTTATAAAGCTTAGACTCTCTACATTCTGTTCATTTAATCCAATTTACAGACAGATAAATGTCCTAATATGTGGCTCCACATCAGTATTTATCTACGGAGTCATTTGTCTGTGTGTGTCCGTACTGTCCCTGAACACACCACAGAGTCGCGTCACTCACGTGTGTTTGTTTACACCTGCAGACACAGATCCAAACACTGACATTATTTTCTTTTTACGGACAATCGGTTTGAGTCTGGATTAAAAGGACATTTATTAGTGCAAATTTGTGATGTGAGGAGGAGCCTGTATGAGCGGTGAGTGTTGGAAATTGTAACGGTCAGTATTACATTTATATTATTATTGATTCTGTAATACTTGATTGCGCCATCAGGTGGCGCCCCTTTTATTTTCTATTATACTGTAAGTCACAGGTCACAGGTCACTCGCTTGTTGCGGTGCTGTGTAATGTAATGGACACACACCTCTGTGCTCTACAACTCAAGTAATGTGCGGTACCGGTGTTAAACGGACTATTTCCTATTTCATGTATGATTCAGACTTAGCGCCGTGGAGACCTGGCATAGTATGGTTTCTAAATGTGTAATAAACCAAGTATCAGTGGAAATCAGTAAGTCTCGCTCTTCTCTCAGCTATCCCAGAGCACATGTTAAGGGCTATAGCTAGCGCTCTCCGCCGGATCACTACCACACGTTACAACTGGCGCCCGAACAGTTTTTCTCTGGACTTCGGTCAATGCGTCTCGAACTTCCACCCGTTTCATCGGACAGCCGGTCGGCTTTTACCTGTCATCGCTTCAGCAATTCTGGTGGTAACCGACAAATTCCTGGATATTACAGCGAGTTTGTTGCCGCTTTTCCTGCGGTGGAAACAGAAAGCTAACTTTATAACTCAAGACACCGTGGATCTGCGATATGGACCGAACCACTTTGGATTTAATTTAGCCCCAGAAAAAACAAAACAAAAAAACCTGAACTTTATGTACCACTTGAAGCGACGCGGGATGTTTATACACCCTCTTTGAAATATACGGACATTCCCCCTGTCTCCAGCAATTAGACGGTCCCGGACTTGACTCCGTGAGTGCTGACCTTAGCGACTACATTTAAAATATCACTGCTAGTCATATACACGTGGTTTTAGACGACAGTAGTCTTCTTTCGCATTGGACTTTAGCTCTCAGGTTTTTCTGTAGTTAAGCCATTACTACATTGGCACTAACGTTAATTTCGGGTGCTATTATAGCTGCTTTTCCAAATTTATTATTGACCAGCATTTTTACGTCTGTTGTAGATTTTTAAGTCAGTTTAGCCTATTCCTTACTGATTTTTCACTTTTATTACTACATACAGACAGTGCTGTGCTCATATTTTTTTTTCTAAAGCACAATGGCCCACTACTTGGACGCACAGGACCACGAGGACTGTGACTCTGACATGGAGCTTATTTCCTTACCAATGCAGAATATTATATATGAAAACAAACCGGACCTTCATCAAGAAGTAGTCAATTTAAAGGCAGAAGTTAACAGACTTAGTGACTGTTTACGTGACTCACTGGACATGCAAAAGAGTATGCTTAAGCAGTGGGACCGTCTCAACAATGAAAACCCCACTCATCCTGCAGCCCAGCCGTCCAACATTTTCCCAATGGCTGCTTCTACACCGTATGTACCCACCGCAAACAGAGCTGATCCTGCGGTCAACCCTCAACATACCAACCACTTTCTCAGCTCCCACACGCTGGAGCTGACCAACACTTCACGAGCGATCGCAGCGGCCTTGCATCATGCCAAACTAGAGCCTCCAGTGTTTGCAGCAGACCATGGGGTACAGCCAGATGATTGGTTGCAAGCTGTCACAACATACAAATCCTCATTGAACCTTTCTGATGGACAATTATTGACTGAACTTCCACACTTCCTCGCCAAAGAACCTAGCAAATGGTTCAGAGCCCTGAGCTCCCACATCACATCATGGGCTCAGTTTTGTCAACTGTTCCAAACTGTCTTTCTACCTGCAGACAACCAGGAGCGCATACTAAGAGGTCTTCTGGATCGTGTCCAGGCTCAAGATGAGCCTCTACCAACTTTTGTTGCCCACATGCTGAGTGAGTTTAACAAACTGAAAAGTCCACTACCTGAAAGAGAACAGATTGAACTGATTAGAAAGCATTCTCTTGAAAAGTACAGAGTTGCACTTTATGGCACTCGCATCACTTCAGTAATGGACCTTTTGCTACGCGCTCATGAGCTCCACTCTATGCTTGGACCAAGTGGACCACAGCCTTCACCTCGTTACAAGGAGCAGCGCAAACCTGAACCCCACTGTTTCAGATGTTCTCAACCAGGGTTCACCACGCGCACCTGCCCCAACTGCAACAATCGCTCTCCAACGACACATGTCACTGTTGAAGCTGCGGGGCCTGGTCCGGTGCAACCACCTCAACCACCTGGTCCCCCAGACTTGGACCATCAAAAGGCTGACAATAACAACACCCCAGCCCCGCCCCAAAACAGGCAGTCGGGAAACTACAGAGGGGGGAGGACATTTCACAGAGGCCACCCTCCCTCCAGACGCTAACTGAGCCTCACCTGCCGCAAGATGGACCAATCTTAGGACACTTAGAGGACAATTTTTCCAAAGTCCACTGGAATACACCTCTGAGAACAAAACTGAACTTTAATGCTACTTCCGTAGAAGCTACTCTTGACACGGGGGCTTCTCTTTCCGCTGTTAGAGCCGACCTCATTCTAGTTAATGACACCCACCACAATAAAACACATGAATGGAATGGCCCACCAGTTAACCTTGCCAATAACGCTCCTTGCATTCCAGAAGGTGTCACTTGGCTGAATGTTGGGTTCATGAACAAAAGATTTTACCAACGTTTTGCCATTATCCCAAAGCTGTCTACTCCTTTCATCCTGGGAATGGACTTTATGACAAGAGCTTCTATTTCCATTCATATTCCAACAAGAACTGTCTTCATGGACGACATCCCCTGCCCATTCACGGATGAAGAGGGGGACAGTCCATTTGATTACTCGGATGTGCCTGAAGCTATAATGTCTATGGACACACTACACTCTGACCTCACATCGAAAATGTCAGAGGCCAACCTCACCGAGGACAACAAAAATGCCTTGGTCAGCCTCCTCGCCAAGTTTGGACCAATGTTTGATGGCCGTCTTGGTCAAACATCACTCACCGAACACATCATTGAAACAGGTGATGCTAAACCTGTGAATCTGCCACCTTATCGCACGGCACCTGCAAAAAAACGTGTGATTGAAGAACAGGTGCAACAAATGTTAAAGGACAATATCATAGAACCTTCTTCCAGTCCATGGGCCGCTCCTGTAGTCATTGTTAACAGGGCAGCTACAGACCCCAGATTTTGTGTGGACTTTAGAGGTCTCAACCAAGTAACACGAAAGGACTCATATCCCTTACCTCGGGTAGATGAAGCATTAGATTTTCTAGCTAGGGGTAAGTTTGTCACAACACTAGATTTAGCACGAGGCTATTGGCAGGTTGCAGTTGCAGAGGAGTCTAGACCAAAGACTGCTTTTATCTCTCATTGTGGTCTTTTCCAGTTTCGGGTACTACCCGCAACATTTCAAAGACTCATGAACTCAGTGCTTGCAGGCCTCATTTACAAAACATGTGCAGTTTACTTGGACGATATTGTCGTCGCCTCTCCTACCTTTGAACAGCATCTGGCAGACCTTGAAGAAGTGCTCGCCAGACTCCAAGCTGCTGGTCTGACGCTGAAACTCAAAAAGTGCCAGTTCTGCCTAAAGGAACTCACCTTCCTCGGCTACCGCATCACGTCTTCAGGTGTTAAGCCAGACCCGGACAAGATCAAGGCGGTGATGGAGTTCAACACCCCAGCTACAGTGAGACACGTCCGACAGTTCCTCGGCCTGACCGGATACTATCGACGCTTCATACAGGATTACGCTCGTCACGCGGAACCTCTGCACGCGCTCACGAGGAAGGACGCCATTTTTCACTGGGACGACAGTTGCCAAAAAGCTTTCGATATTTTAAAAAGACGAGTCACATCGGCCCCTGTTTTGTCATTTCCAGATTTTAGGCGCCCCTTTTTCATTCACACTGACGCATGTGATGTTGGTCTTGGTGCTGCTTTAATGCAAAAAGATGACAAGGGTCACGAGAATGTTGTGGCATTTGCTAGCCGCTCCATTCACAAAGCTGAACTCCCCTACAGCACTTCAGAAAAGGAATGCCTCGCTGTGATTTGGGCCCTTGAGCATTTTCGTCCATATGTTGAGGGTATGCATGTCACTATCTATACAGACCACAATAGTCTCAAATGGCTTATGTCACGTCAGAATCCCACTGGCCGGCTTGCCCGCTGGTCACTTCGCCTGCAGGACTTTGATTTCACTATAGTGCACAAACCTGGCACACGCAATAAAGTCCCAGACGCACTGTCGCGTAACCCACTGCCCCTTGCTTGTGAAGGCCCCATAGATCTCTTGTCCGAGCATGCTGTCATTGGCAGTTTAGACTTTCGCGCCCTGCCCCTGTTTTGTTTACAGATCGTTCTCATGTCAGACAGTTGCAGCTAGACGACCCTGTTGTTGGTCCACTGCTGAAAGATATTGAAAATGACTCAGAAATTTATTTAGACAATAATAATCTGTCACAGTATGTTGTTTATGACTCACTTCTCTACTACAAAGACTCTAAAGCCACATGTACCTTGCATCCTTTAAAGGAGCTTAAGTTATATGCCCCTATGTCTATTAGAGGTACCTTACTGGATTATTACCATGACCACCCCACTGCAGGTCATCTTGGTGTTTCAAAGACTCTAGCTAGATTACGTCTCAGATTTTTCTGGCCAAAAATGGCATCTGATGTTAAACGTTATGTGACCTCCTGCTCAGTCTGCCAACTCACGAAGCCTAGCCAGAGAAAACCAGCAGGTTTTATGGTTAAGTAAGTCTCGCTCTTCTCTCAGCTATCCCAGAGCACATGTTAAGGGCTATAGCTAGCGCTCTCCGCCGGATCACTACCACACGTTACAAAATATGTCGACTCTGAAGCTAGTTTTTGTCATTTGTTATGGGTTAGCTGCTGTAGCTCCCGCACATAAACAGACTGTTTTCTATTGGTCTGTTCTAAAGTGATTATATTGGCCGTATATTTGCTACTGGACCTGCACTGATATGTAAATGAGCTGTGAACAGACGTGTGAATTATGACATATGCGCATATAATTAATTACCGCAGCGCGCACGTATTTACGGCTAAAGGCTAATAGCGCTACTTTCTTTACTAGTTATGGGTCCGTCGCGAACAAAATGACTCTTAGAACCGGCTCTTTGAAGGGAACGACGGGAGCCTGATCCTTATTGGGAGCCGTGTTTTCTCTTTCTCTCACTTTTTTTCTCTTCACGCCGCGTGCAGATTCGTGGTTTGACAGCGGCAGCGGCTAAAAACGAAACTTTGAGAAATTTGCGTGTACGTAGGATTAAAAAAAATAAAAATTTAAAAAACGAGCATATTTGACTGTAGTTTAGCATAAAATAAATAAGTCCTAGTTTAGTCCTTTTTCAGTCCTGGTTTAGACCTGGTTTAGACGTGCTTTAGTCCTGCTTGCAACAAAACAATCTGAAGAGCCACTTGGGAGCCAAAAGAACCAGCAGCTTTTAGTGAGCCGAGCCAAAAGAGCCGGTTCTCTAAAAAGAACTGGAATGACTAGTGTCTAGAATGTGATGCAAAAATGCCATTAAGCCAACCTACTGTCTGTAAATATGATGTAAAGAGGCAGAATAACAATAAATGTTGCCTAAATAAACCCAATTTAAAATCCACCGGAGTCAAACCTAAGTTTTTTAAACAATTCAACATTTACAGTGAATTTTTACATCACTAAATATATCGGTGATTATATCGGCAGCTCCAACTTCCATTATATTGGTTTCATATCGGCCACAGCAAAATCCATATCAGTTGGGCTCTAGTCTACAGTTGCACTTTCATTAGTAATTTGAGTTGTTTCAGTTTATGATGATCAGTTTTATTTGTATTCAAGTATGTCAAAATATTGTATCATTAATCATTACGTAATAATTATTTTGTGTTTCAGACAAAATGAGGCTGTCTGCTGTGCTCTTCTTCTGTGCTGCATCTCTGGCTCTGGCAGGTAAAACATGACTTAACATATACAGTATATATTTTTTATAAATGTACCATCAATTATTATGATTATTTTTTAACATGATAAATTATATTATTGTATATTGTCCAATCCCTAGTTATTGTGTCATCTGAAACCCAGCAATACTGTGTCTTACCGTTCATTTTGGTCCTGTAGGGGGAGTCAGTGTGAGGTCTCTGGTCTTCAGCTCTGAATCGGCCTCAAACTATGTGACTGTTAGGCCTCTGAAGCCTCTGGACCTCAGCGCGTTCACACTGTGTCTGCGTCTCGCCACTGAACTCAAGACAGAGCAGAGAGATCATCCTTTTCGCCTATAGGACCAAGTACTTTGATGAGCTCAACCTGTGGAGGGAGTTGGACGGGAGGTACGGCAGAGTTACAAACTTGCAGTAAAAAGTACTGCTTAAGGTAGTACGGGCCAATTCACCAGGAGGCCTGAGGGCCAAAATAAATGGGTCTGAGGGCTGCATTCAGCCCCAGGCCATAGTTTGGACATGCTGGTGTTAGACCAATCACACTGTTCCTTATGTCCAGTGTTTAGTCCCAGTTTAAGTCTACAGTGCCATAGTCTAAAACAAGTTGAGCATTTACTTGCCATTAAAGATGTACTTTTTACTTGTTATTTTATCATAAATATAACATATAGAGGTTAAGTACTTTTTTATGGTAGCATTATGTAACTCTTCTGATGTGGCGGCCATCTAGTCTCCATGGAGATGTTATGGTTTTACCAAAAATGTTTCTTTGTATGGCACTAAAACTGTTTTATTTACCATTATTATTTTGCATTTATTCAGTTGTTCATGTGGCTCAAAAATACCAGGAAGTGTAACCACGCTAAACTTGGCCGTGCTAAAGCCCAGCTTGGTTGCAGGAGTAACCCGTCTGTGTTCGTCTTTGACTGTCGTATAGTTTATCTGCGTTGTGTTGTAAACAAATGGACACGGTGCTGTCTTTTGTGGTTTTAATCTGCATGAAACAAAATATCTACTGGTCAGGATACCTCGGCTCAACACAGCGAGCAGTTCTACAAGGAGAGCAAGTCACATTAGCATCTAAAATTTAGCTTTTGTCACGACATGTGCAAAGTCCATTACTGTATAATAACTCATACATTGTACAAAATATTAGCTCAAACATGTTCTGGATGACATAAATAAGTTGTACAATTAAGCTGGGTTCATATAATAAGTAATTAAACAGAAATACATGATTTTTAACCTAAAATCAGTGACCCACCTCGCGGCCATCTCTAATGAACTGACAACATGCTCTTGGCGCCAGGGGCACTTATCCACTTCCGGTCACCACAAGAGGGCATTACTCAACCAAAATATATTAGTCCAATAAATGTAATGACAAGTGGAATAAAATACCCTGTAATCACTGTTACAAAAGCACATGCATTTCTGCTTTTTCTGCCTCCTGTATCTTGGTGTACACTGTTTGATTTCTGTCTCTCCCTCAGAATCGGCCTGTACCTGAGTGGAGATGGAGTGCTCTTCCAGATGCCTCCACTGGGCCCCCTGCAGACACACCTGTGCATTACATGGGAATCTCTCACCGGAGCCACAACGGTTTTCATGGACGGCAAGAGAAGTCTGACCAAGATCTACCAGAAACGCCACAACGTTCGCAGCGGTGGCCAGATCATCATCGGCCAGGACCCAGACGAGTACCTGGGAGGATTTGATGCCAATCAAAGTTTTGTTGGTGAAATATCAGACATTAACTTGTGGAGCAGTGTGCTTCCAGACAGTGTTATAAAGGCAATGTCTGACAGTGGCCAAACAATCCAAAGTGGAGATGTCATAGACTGGAGCGAGGCAAATTTAGAGGTTACCGGACAGGTTGGTATTGTCCAGAGAGATATATAATGTTACTTTTCAGAAAGATTTTCAGACTGTATTGTTTGTTTTTCCATATGAATTATTAACTGTTAAAAAAAAACATGTATCTGACCCATCCAAAAATAAATATAATAGAATAAATATAATCAATTTGGCACTGAACCTGATCATTTCTGTTATCGATTAGACCCAAGACCATGCTATATTACAACAAAAATCTGCAATTGAACAATACTGATTTTGGCTGCCACCCTATTTGTATTAAATAATATTGGCCTACAGAATACTATGATCTCATCTGAAACGCAGCAATTGTCTAAAAATGTGGCTTTTGTTAGATCAAAATTGGAATAGTGTTAATAGACACAATACCATGTTTACTTTCTATTCCAATAATGTCATGTCTCTATCTTTACTGGTCATGCCTTATAACAGCTGGATTCATTTAAAATGTTTGTTTTGTGTTTTTGTTTTTTTTTTTTTTGTTTTTTTTTTGATAGAGTGCATATTGGACATCTGTAATTACAGTATAAATATGGCCAATTATAGAAAAGATCCTAATTTCCATCTGTTGTCCCTTGACAGGTGACACTGAAAACAATTACAAAATTCAAAACAGTTACAAAGAGACATAACACAGAAGAGTAAAAGGCCAGATTAAAAGTGTTCACAGACTTGATTATCCTTCATCCACAGTTAAGGTGCAGTTTGAATGGAGATGGAGATGGATTTTCTCTTATTGTCAGTGGGACACTGTTCCAATAATTAGTCCTTTTGACAGACATGAATTTTCAAAATGATCAAAAATGATTAACTAAACTTATTCCAAACATTGCAGTGGTGATATGAGTGGTGCTTTTTGTCCAAGACTTTCTTTATCATTGTGACAAAGGTGTTGAGTATCAAGTTTATTTCTTACTAATGTGACAAGACGAGAAATTACTTTCTAAATTCAATTTGATTAATACTTGGTCCTAGTTTGACCCTTTTAGTAAACAGACATCTTTGGTCCACAGTCCACTAAAGGTTTATATTTAAATAACACAGGGGTCAGGGTATATAGTACAGAATAGGGCACTTCATTAAAAACAAGAGTTCCCAGTGATCAGCCAAGACTACGCTTCGGACTGCAGGTAAGTCCACAACATCTGAGTCATTTATGTGAGCTACACCACCAAGAACTTTTTGAAAATATTTAAAATTTCAAGCATTAATCTTTTAAGGATTTTAACTTAAAGTGGGACTGAACAACTCCACAACAACTACAGCCCAAGCAAACTGTCAAAAGGACAATATTACACTCTCTTCTGATCTGTTATGATGTTGTTTCCTCGTCACAAACAGACCTGGAGTTGTGGTTTGTTTCGTTCACACGTTTAATACACAAACTCTGCGTATTTAAGATGAGTTCTTCTCTCAAACTGAAAACACTCTGCTTCACCTTGTGATGTAATGTAAAACAGGAAGTGCTCCATTGTGTTTCTAAAGTCCATACAATCATTTGTATGATTTAAGACCTGGAATTTCCCACCTCTACTGAACAAAAATGAGAAGGTAGCTGTTAACTTAAAAATTACCACTACATGACAAGACATGACAAGGTGGAACAAGCATTTTGAGCTTTGGAGATGTAGACTCCAAAGTCCACAAAGCTGAAAGTTAACACTGAAATTTAATCTCTAGTCCCACTTTCATTAGTAATTTCAGTTATTTTAGTTCGTGATCAGTTGTTTTATTTGTGTTCAAGTATGTCAAAATATTGTATCATTAATCATTAAGTAATAATTATTATTGATTTATTTTTGTGTTTCAGACAAAATGAGGCTGTCTGCTGTGCTCTTCTTCTGTGCTGCATCTCTGGCTCTGGCAGGTAAAACATGACTTAACATATACAGTATATATTTTTAATAAATGTAACATCAATTATTATGATTATTTTTAACATGATAAATTATATTATTGTATATTGTCCAATCCCTAGTTATTACGTCATCTGAAACCCAGCAATACTGTGTCTTACCGTTCATTTTGGTCCTGTAAGGGGCGTCAATGTGAGGTCTCTGGTCTTCAGCTCTGAATCGGCCTCAAACTATGTGACTGTTAGGCCTCAGAAACCTTTGGACCTGTACGCGTTCACACTGTGTCTGCGTCTTGCCACCGAACTGCAGACGGAAAACAGAGATCATCCTTTTCGCCTACAGGACCAAGTACTTCGACGAGCTCAACCTGTGGAGGTACAGCAGAGAGAGGAGGCCTGAGGGTCAAAATAAACGGGTCTGAGGGCTGCATTCAGCCCCCAGGCCATAGTTTGGACATGCCGGTGTTAGACCAATCACACTGTTCCTTATGTCCAGTGTTTAGTCCCAGTTTAAGACTACAGTGCCATAGTCTAAAACAAGATGAGCATTTACTTGCCATTAAAGATATACTTTTTACTTATTTTATCCTTAATATAACATATAGAGGTTAAGTACTTTTTTATGGTTGCATTATGTAACTCCTCTGGTGTGGTGGCCATCTAGTCTCCATGGAGATGTTATGGCTTTGCCAAAAATGTTTCTGTATGGCACTAAAATGATTTTATTTACCATTATTATTTTGCATTTATTCAATTGTTCATGTCGCACAGAAATACCAGGAAGCACATGCATTCCTGCCGTTACACACGTCTGTCCTGTATCTTATACAGTATACAGTGTTTGATTTCTGTCTCTCCCTCAGAATCGGCCTGTACATGAGCGTAGAGGGAGTGCTCTTCCAGATGCCTCCACTGGGCCCCCTGCAGACACACCTGTGCATTACATGGGAATCTCTCACCGGAGCCACGACGGTTTTCATGGACGGCAAGAAAAGTCTGACCAAGATCTACCGGAAAGACCACAACGTTCGCAGGGGGGGCCAGATCATCATCGGCCAGGACCCAGACGATTAACTGGGACATTTTGACACCAAACGAAGTTTTGCTGGTGAAATATCAGACATTAACTTGTGGAGCAGTGTGCTTCCAGTCAGTGTTATAAAAGCAATGGCTGACAGTGGCAAAACAATCCAAACTGGAGATGTCATAGACTGGAAAGTGGCAAATTTAGAGGTTACCGGACAGGTTAGTATTGTCCAGAAAGATATATAATGCTACTTTTCAGAAAGACTTTCCGACCGAATTGGTTTGTTTCTCCACATGAATTATTAACTGTTAAAAAAAACCAAAACTATATATCTGGCCCATCCAAAAATAAATATAATATAGTAAATAAAATAAATTTGGTACTATTTAAATTCACCTTAAAGAATTTACAAGACTTTTTGGAGTGAAGAATACTGTGATGTCATCTGAAACCCAGCAATTGTCTAAAATGTGGCTTCTGTTAAATCAAAATTGTAACAGTGTTGTCACAAAAAATTCAGACGCAATACCTTTTTTATTTTCCATTCCAATAAAGTCATGTCTCTAACTTTACTGGCCCTACATTAGGACAGCTGGATTAATTTAAAATTTCAAAAACAATCAGTTTCTTCACAAGCTGCAGGCACGGACGGGGTTCGAACCCGCGATCTTCGGTTTACGAGACCGACGCCTTACCACTTGGCCACCGCGCCTGGTATTGCGTATGGGACACTGTAAAAAATTAAAAACACCGTATCTCTCACTCATTTGCTCGAAATGACTTGTCTTTTTGCATAAAATTAAACGGGCAATATTCATCTAATAGCTAGGCGTATTGCACAAAATAAATGATTGTTTTTTTATATACATAATTTTGCTATTGTAGGAAAATTCGTCGGCAACCCCCGTAGAAAAACGTCTCTTTTAGCCAGCCGGGACATCATTGTAACTAGAGGCCGTTGCTTTTGTTTATAAAATATATAACAGAACGGTATACTTCTACAGTTTGCGCAGAAAAAGACTTACTTTCGTCAGATCGTTTATGCTTTTTACAGCGCAGTTACCACGCTTTCGGTGTCACCCGGAAGAACTATCCGAACAGCGGAAGTGCTCAGAACAGCTGCTTGGGGTCAGGGTGTAGCTACATGAATGGCAACATGAAAATAAAGCCCTATGTTTCACTGTCAGCGATTTTCAAGATCATTTAGCTACTTCGGACACGAGAATTCCCTAATTTAATGTCGTAAGTAACTGTTACAGACAAAAATAAACACCGGATCGCTAGATTAATTGGCCGATGGTGGAAGTACTAGCTTCAGTGTCTCCAAATTTGGTCATCAGTGTAAGCAGTCTATATTTAAATGTTTAATTAATTTCACTTATTCGTGTGTAGAATAGTGTATTTGGTTTGTGTCAGATGTGTTTAAAGGGGTTATTTAGATATTGGTTAAGTTTAATTATAAATCAGAATTGACAGAAGCCATTGCTGCTATAAAGTTTGTTAGAACATAGTGTGCATTAGACTAATAATCTTTACGTGTCGTCGCCTGTACATGAGGAGCCTAAGGGCAATTCCATTTTAATATGTTCTTTGTTCTTGTACTAACCTACTAGGAATGTCAGAAAGTAGAAAAAAATTGCAAAAATCTGGCAATCATCTCATCCACTGATTCGTATTCTAAGCATTTGACACATAAGATTAAAATATTGTAAGTTTTTAAAAAGTCAGTAAATGTGAGCTTTAAAGAGATGGCAAAACGGCAATATTGACTAACGTTTTCATTATCTTCAGATCCAACTACAGCTAATGATTTGAGTAACATATCTTATTCATTTCCCCCCTTCTGGTCATATATTACACACCAAGGTGCATTGAGAAAGAAGAGTAAATAAACAAATATACAAACAGTCAAGAATGAACTGCTAAACTAAAGACTAAATACCGGAATTACATGCATTTAAGGAACAAAAAACAAAACAAAAAAAGCATGCATGTAGAAGCTACAGGTTTTATGCATAATACCTACAAATGTGGGATATTTTGTTACTATCAAGTTATTCTGTTATATAAATTTCTCCAGTCCTTGCACTTCGGAATAAGAAAAACTTTACTAGCCATTGTCAGTGAAGAAATTCTTTGGAATTGCTTGGCTTCAAATGACATCACAGTATTCTTTAGGTCAACATTATTTAATACAGACGAGGGCAGTTAAAATCAGTACTGTTCAACTGCAGATCTTTGTTGTACTAAAGCATGGTCTTGGGTCTAGTCAGTAATAGAAATGATCAGGTTTCATATTTGGGAATTTATGTTTCTGATATTTTATGGCAAAGTACTTGTAACAGGAAGTAGGATGTAACAGGAATTTCTGGTTCTTATTCCTGTTTGGAAGTATGGCATATTCAAAATCTGGAATCTGTGATCAAATAAATGTCTAAGGTGTTAGACTCAGATAGACTTTGACTGAATATAAATATAAAATACAAAAAATATACAGTTTGGATAGAATAAAAATGCAAAGCCAGCAGTGCAGTGCAAATTGATTCAATATTATTGAAGTAAGTTGTTTACACTGCTTTCTGATCCTCATCACAAACATACCTGGAGTTTTTTTTTTTTTTTTTTTTTTCCATTCACACATGTTTAACATACAAGCCCTGCATTTTTAGACTATTTAGACACCTTGTGATGTCATGTGGTAATACAGGAAGTGCTCCATTGTGTTTTTAAACTCCATACACTTTCACTAAAAACATTTAGATGATTTCAGATCTGGAATTGCCAATCTCTACCGAACAAAAGGTAAAAGGTAGCTGAGAACTTGAACACTGCCATTTTATGACATCACAAGATGGAACAGAGCATTTTGAGCTTTGGAGATGTAGATAAACTAATAACAAAGGCTCACTCAAACATGCGTGAATGAAACACAACTCCAGTTTTGTTTTGTTTTTTGAGGAGGAAACAACATTATAACATGGTTTAAAGCTCACAAGAATTATTTTTTGTAATATAGGAAATCACTTGCAAATAACGTAATAATAATCAGTCTTATATTTGACCTCCCTGTTTCTATCTTCTTTTCCAGTCTGTGATCGCTCCCCTCCCTCCATCATGCACATCGTGGTGGACGCGGTTTGGGCTGTGTGGAGTATCGCGGCTGGGGTCTACGACTATTTCCACACGAGCGCCATGGAGGAGCGCATTCACACACTCGAAAACGTCCTGTCCATTCACCAGTTTGTGATTGCTGGCCTCTCCGCTGGCCTTATTCTTATGATGACGTATATTTTATTCAGAAAACACTAAGACACAGACACCTCCCATATGTTTGGCTTCTGGAGCATAAAATGGGAGAAAGAGTGGGGAAGTACATGCATCGTTTTTTCATTTTTTTTACAACTTGGATTCGATCTTGAGGAAGCTAGAAGTTGTCTTGTATTTGCCTAACCCCTTGGCCATCCTACAGTTCAGCCTCCTGCCAACATGAGATGAACTTTATACCTTTTTGGCTCATCATGTAAAGCCCTGAAGATAACTTTGCACATTGACTGTTACCAAGCTTGAAGAAAGCCCAGCCTGGATGTTGAAATAGATGTCTCACAGCAGGAAGGTCCCAAGTTCGACTCCCAGGCTGAGTTTGCATGTTCTCCCTGTGTCTGCATAGGTTTGTTCTGGGAACTGCAGTTTCCCCCATCACTAAAAACATGTACTATATAGCTCAAACATTGACTGCCTTCTCCCTGGCTCTAGGAGTAAATTTCCCATTATTTTTCCCTTAGTCTTTTTTTTTTTTTTAAAGTAAGTTTGAAAGCTTGCTCAGGGCTAATCAGCTATGTGGAAACTCATGAAAGCAAGACTTGCACTTTGAACTCACAATATGCATCTCACAGTTCGATATATATTGTAATATTTTGTGGAGACTAACAAAATTGTGTATATGCAACTTTTTCCTTTTTAAAGTTTTGGGAAAACCTTGAAAAGCCTTTGATACTGTAATAATATGAAGAATTACAATTTAAAAGTGCTTAAGAGCAGTTATTTCTTCATGTAGTCTGCACTAAAAACACCAAAATGATCATGGTCAGTGTAGTTCCAATGTTTTCCAGCTATCCTTGCACCAGGCAAGGCAAGTTTATTTGTGTAGCACAATTCATACACAAAGTAATTCAAAGTGCTTTACAGAATAAGAAAGACATTAGAATCACCATAACTATTCATTTAATCAGAGAGAATTGTAATTTGATACATTGTGATGGCCTCCGATATTATTGTGAGACTTTTGACGATACGATATCATGATATTTTGGTTATTATGATGTACTTTGATTTAACCATGTTTCTGATTGTTACAGAAAGAAAATTCTGAATCTTGCGTTTTAAAGATGCATTGACTAACTTTTCTGGTCAAATGCTTTTCTCCATGGAGATGTTATTGCTTTGTCTTGAATGTTTCACAGTATGGTATTAAACCGTTCTATCTGCATGGAGACCAAACCAGACCAAGTTACAGGTCAGATCTGTGTAGAGGCAAGCCCGATCTCAAGTCAGAATACCTGTTTTTGTAGGTACTTTTGAGCTGTAAATCCACTTGTAATTTAATAAATGTAAGGTAGAGCTGTTTAATGTCATACTGTGGAACATTCACGGCAGAGCAGTGACATATCCATAGAAACAAGCAGGTGACAGACATCCAACCAAAAAGTTATATAGTCCACCTTTAAATGTGCTTTTTGGACTTAAAACAGCGCACATAGCTGCTTAGTCTTCGTCGTGCCATTATTTGAATGTTTGAAAGTATGTGAAAATTGAATGGGAAATTTACTTTTAGGACCCAAGCAAACCTTGAAGTGGACTCCCTTAAAGGCCAGGACTCCCCTTAAAATCTCAGTGGGGTTATTCTGGTTAAATGTCTAATTAATGAAAACAAACTTAATATTTTCTCATAGGTCAGTTTATCCCTTAACTTAATGATGAAACTTGAATTTTGTAACCAAAATTGTAAGACAAAATGTGTTTGAATACCTTTAAAGATGATAACTTTAAAATGTTGTTTATAATCTTGGTACAATTCAAAAAATACATTTTGTCTTACATTAACGGTTTTCTTTAACAATACAGTTGTGTGCCCAAAATAACTAAACTTCTAAACATTGTGTAATTTACTAAAAGTCAATGAAAATAATTGATTACAAGTGAGCACTGATAAGAAGGAATCGTAGACTTTGTTTTATAGCTGTTCTCCCAATGAAAAGCTTGTCTGCTGTGTTTCACTCCACTGGATAGATCTCACTGTTGACTACTATTAAAACTGTTTACTTAATGTATAGGTTTTGTCTGATCTACATTTATATCATGATTTAATGTTGTATTTTGTCTTTGCACATAGAGCTGCTCTTTGAAATTCAAATGTCTCAGTTTATTTGATAATAATGGTACTGATGCTGTTTGGTGTTTTAATGCCATGTATGCACCATCTCTGTTTTAAATGAAGCCTTGTATCGAAAGGGAAACAATTTGATGAATAAATCATGATTTTAACCCAATGCACTGTAGTTTGTTTGTTTTTGTTTTTATTACTGGTGAATATTGACATATTGTTCAATATGACGGAAATAATCAATATTTTATAATGCTAAAAATATTACGTTTGATTTATACAGTGTTTCTTGGACTCTTAAAGATGCTTTACAGTGCCTAATTCACTATTCTATTCACATTATGCACTATACTCAATGGTGGTAAGCTTCTATTATAGCTACAGCTGCCCTGTTGCTGACTGGCAGAAGTGAGTCTGCCAATCTGCACCATCAGCCCTTCCAATATTAACCATAACAAATTCCACCATAGAATTCTGACCTACATGACAATTTCCACTCTAACGTACAGGGGTCTCCAATTAAATTTCTCTGACGGCCAAAACATTTTCACATTCCAAACAAAGGGTCCACAAAAACTCTGCCAGTAGACAATGTTTTATTTGCCAAAACACAATGTTAAAATGGGTTGATCAAAAACCTAAAATGTTCATTTATACTTGTATGGTGTCTATGTGTTTGTTTTAAATGTGTTTTAAATACAAAACATAAAAAGATTTTCTGCTTGCATGCGTGCTTGAAAGGTTTAGTTTGGCAAAGTGTGCACCTGAGGACTGTATGCCAAGACAGGGGTATATATACAATCATATACACCAGATATCAATAGTTTGTGAAGCCTCTCAGTTGTAGGATCCATGGCAAAGAAAAAACTCAGTTCTGTAAACTGAACAAAAGTTTTTGAGTAAAGAAGTTTCGCAGCTCATCCAAGCTGCTTCTTCAGTTCTGGTCAGATTGCTTCTGTACACTGCCACATATTTGCCTTTAGGGAGGAACTACCGAAAGTGAAACTAATACATCTGTTTAGGTATTACTCCTACAGTTGATGAGGAAGTCTGACCATGAAGAATATCGTTAATTAATGTGTCTGAATTGAGGCATTGAAACTGGGATTGGAGTCACGTGCGCCGGTCCAGATCTGCTCGGGGACACGAGTTTTTTTCTTTTTTTTTTTTTTTTTTTTTCCAAGTCAAGGTACGTCTTTGTCGATGCTAATGCCATTGCTAATTTTGAAGCTAAATTTAAATACCGCCACAGGCTGAAATAATCTCCACAAAAATAACTGGATAATTTTTTACAACAAATAATATTTTTATGTTATTTTGGCTAGAAACCATATCCAAGTTTGTTAAAGCCTCACTTCCTTCCAAAGTCCAAAGTTTTTTTTTTTTTTTTTTTTTTTTTTTTTTTTTTTTTTTTTTTTTTTTTTATTATTACACACAACTGGGTGCATAAACTTGATATAACAAACATGGCTGTGTGTCGTCAGAAGTTACATGTTGGGATGAGGGAACATAAACATAACATATTGTATAGAAACAATACAATATAATACAAAAAAAGTGCATTTAAGAATAGAAAATGATAATAGCAAGGGAAGTAGAGTTCATTCAGCCAGAGTCCATAAAGTCCAGGGGTATTTCGCACATGTAGGAATACACTTTTTGAGGTTTAGGACCATTCATATGTTTCAGAGTTTTTATATATAATCTTAGTTCGTTTTTAAAACAAGCAAAGTTAGGGGGACATTTCTGAATTTTACATTTGTGGATGTAAAATTTGGCAAGACATAATATTAAGTTTACACAGAGTTCTTCTTTTTTATTTTGTAGTAGTACACCAAAAATTATAACATCTCTGTTTAACAAGACTGGTAAAGAACGAAATGTGGAATTGATCCAGAGTTGCATTTCAGACCAAAAGGGTTGGATTGTAGCACAAAAGAAAAAAAGATGATCAGTGCTTTCAATCTCCTTTTCACAAAAAGTGCAAATGTTTTCATGAATTTTAAAGCGCAATTGAAGTAATTCTTTGGATGGGTATATGTTATTCATGATTTTGTAATGTGTTTCCTTTACTTTAGGAGCAACAGGAAAGGCCAAATACATTGTTCTCAGTTTTGTTATTGCTTCTTTATCAAATTTATATTGAATATCATTTTTATTTTGCAAACCAGGGAACATTTTTCCTGTTAGAACTTTTCTAATGAAGTAATTATTGCATTTTCTGTCTGTTATTGACACTCCTTGTATTGATAAGGCAGGTATATGTGGGTGTATATTTTGGTTTGCCAAAATGTTCCTTGAGAGATAAAGAAATTCTTTAGGGAGAGCATTACATAAACGTACGAAGTCCAAATATGAGGGATTAAAATCATGTTTTGCACAGAATTGGTTGTAATTTAGTAAATTGCCACTTTCATTCATTAAGTGTGCTATTGACCAAAATATTTCTTTCAAACCAGTCTTTGTAAAACAGTGATTTGTTACGATGTAGAATATATCGGTTATTCCATATTATTGTGGAGTGTGGAGAATAGTTATGAACATATAACATTTTCCAGTACAGTAAAATTTGCTTATGGAACTCTGATAAAGAGACAGGAAGCTTATTGATGTCAAAGTCACAAACAAGTAGAAGGTTTAGTCCACCCAATTTGTTAAAAATAAAGTTAGGGATACAGTACCATAAGGAATTATGGTGCTTAATCCAAGATTTGAGCCAATTGATTTTTTAGGGTTGCATTGAGGCACTCTAAATCAATTACATTTAGACCACCTTCACTTGTTTCTTTCACTAGATGACTTTTCTTCATATAATGAGGTCTATTTCTCCATATGAAATTTAGATTAACTTGATTTATAGATTTGATTAAATACTTTGAAATGGCATTTGAATAGAGTGGGTATATACATCTTGATAAACTTTCCATTTTGGTCAAATAAATACGGCCTAATAATGATAGATCTCTTTGGAGCCAAATGTTCAGTTTTGATTTACATTCTTTAAGTTTGCTTTCTATATTGACCAACTGGCTTACTTTTTGTTCTCTACAGAGCTGAATACCTAAATATTTTATTTCAGTTTTGACAGGAATGTGGCAGATTTCCTTTATCTGAGTCTCATGGAGAGAGAAAAGTTCACATTTTTTCAGATTTAAAAAATAATCCTGAGGCTTTAGAGAATTTAGCAATTTTGTCAATAGATTTTTGAATCTGGTGCTCATTTTTAAAAAATAAAGTTGTATCGTCTGCTAACTGACTGATAACAATTTTCATTGCCCAGGACATTTAATTTTTGGATATCAGTACAGTTTTTAATATAAATAGCTAATAATTCAGTGACCAAGATGAAGAGGTACGGAGAGATTGGGCAGCCCTGAGGAATACCAACTTCTACGTTGAAGCTCTGAGTAGAGCCCTTTGAGAGAAGAACACAGCTATTTATGTTTTTGTATAATCCACCGATTAAATTTCTAAATTTGATACCAAACCCAAAATACTCAAGTGCAGATATAATAAATGGGTGTTCTACTGAATCAAAGGCTTTGTAAAAGTCCAAAAAAGAAAATAAACCCGTGGTCTTCAATTAAATCACTGTATTCAATTAGGTCCATAACCTGTCTTATATTATTATGGATAGATCTACCCTTTAAAAAACCGGATTGAGTCTCTGCAACAATGTTTGAAAGCCCTGACTGTAGACGAGAGGCAAAGATGTATGTTAGGAGCTTATAGTCTGAATTCCTGAGTGTAATAGGTCTTCTATTTTCTATGATTCTAGGATCTTTATTAGGTTTTGGAATGGAGATTATAACCCCATGCCTCATTGTAACTGGAAGTGAACAGGTCTCAAAGATTTCTAAGAATACATGGTAAAGTAACTGTTTTATATCTTCCCAAAAGAATTTATAGAAGTTTCCGGTGAGACCGTCTGAACCTGGGGCTTTGTTGGGAGATAGTTTGCCAATTATGGCATCAAGTTCGACAATAGAGAGAGGACTATCGCAGGTTTGTTTATAGTCCTCATTTATTTTTGGGATGTTATCTGAAACCTCTTTAAGAAAGGCTTCACAGTCAATTTTAGAAAATTTAGAGGTGTAAAGTTGCCTATAAAATTTAAAGATCTCAAAGGACATCATTCTTTCATCAGTAATTTCTCGGTCATTGATTAATATGGATTTTATGCTGTTTTTTTCCTGACGTCTTTTTTCTAGACCACAAAAATAGGCAGAGTTCTTCTCTCCTTCTTCTATCCACTTTGCCCTAGATCTAATAAATGCTCCTTGAGCTTTATGAATATACAACTGATCTAAAGAGGATTGAAAATGTAAAATGGTTTGTTTATCTTCTTCACTCTGAGTGGGTTTGTTACAGTAGAAATTCAATTGGTTAATAATGTCATGTTCCTTTTGTTCAAGATCCTTTTTCTTTTTTTTACTATAGTAGATTGAGAATTCACGGATTTTAAATTTTAGGAATTCCCATTTTCTTACTGGAGTTGAAAGTTCCTCATTGCATTTAATATCATTAATTAATGTTTTAATATGTTGGCAGTAATCCTCATTTTTGAGCAAGCTTGAGTTGAATTTCCAATATTTGTTAGAATATAATCTGCTCTTAGATTTAATGTGAAGATATATTACACTGTGATCAGTTAAAGGTGCTGCAGAAATATTACAGCTAAAGTTAGAATAGATTAAATTGTTTGAAATTAACCAGTGATCAATTCTAGATTTTTGAGCTATAATTTGGGTGAAACCATGAAAATTGAATTAAATTAGGATTAAGATATCTCCAAGCGTCAGTTAGGCCAAGTTCGTCACAAAGATTATTAAATGTCTTATTAGGATGAGCTGAGGTGAATTTGGGGGGGATATTTATCAAAAAAATCATCATTGACCAAGTTCAGATCTCCCCCTAATAATATATTCTCAGTTAAATGTGCCACTTTTAGGTGGTCCAGATGTAAAATTAATTCATTTTAATAATTGTTTGTTGTCATTTTTATTATTGTACCCATAGACATTTACCAATATCAAATTGACATTGTCAATATTTACAATAAGAATAAGCCAATGGCCATTATCATCTGCCATACTATAAATTATCTGGCCGGCAAAATTTTTTAGGAAGATAGCTACCCCTGCTGATCTGGAAGTGCCATGACTG